ATTTTTTCTTTCTTTTTCATTTTCTTTTTATAGTGATAAGTGAATATGAAAAGGATAATTACACACCCCTTTTATCTCCTAGACACAAAGGTGGATCCATTCAGGGACATTGGTGGTCCCAGGACCCTCCGAAGGTCCAAAGAAGTAGCTGTAATGACCTTCGAGGACCACCCGAACATGGTGGAGGAGAGGTATTAGCAGCGGTTGCTCGTTGTGCTGCAGCAGATGGATAATAAAGAAGAAACTATTCTCCTTTTAAGCGAATGGGCCTAAACGACTTGTTTGGATCCAATGCATTTAAAAAAAACACGTGCCCTTCTTTTTAATAGCCACGTGATTCTCTCTTTTAAATATAATCCCCTCCCATTTTCTTTACGGACCCCCTACTCACTGCAGCTAGTCTTCCTTTAGAATTTTGGTACTTTGGTTATGCTCATTCAGTTTTTTTATCAATCGTATGTCTTGTAAGTTTTGATTCATATCTTCTCCATTTGGTTTATTATATGGGAAGCAACCTGATTTGACTTCACTAAAGATCTTTGGCACTGCAGTGTACCCGTGGTTGAGACCTTACAATGCCAATACACTGCAATCTAGGTCTTAGACGTGTGTTTTCTTGGGCTATTCTCCACGTTACAAAAAGTGTGGTGTATTTTGACAAACATTATAGAAAATGCATTATTTCCAGGCATGTGATATATGATGGGTCTGTTTTTCCTTACAAAGTTCATTTGTCAAGGTTAGCACATATAACTAGTGATTATACTGATTCTTCAAATACTTCGTTAGTGTTCATACCTATACCAGTTTCTCAACCTACAAGGGAATTTCAACCTGACATCTCAATTCATACAACAAGCACTTCAAACTCAGCTACAAGTGTGCCTCATGTTTCTACTTCTTCTACTCCAGTCAATACAAGGCATAATGTGTATAGTATTTTTACAAAGTTTTACTACTTTGTTTTGAATCAATTTGGCAAGAAGTGTTTACAAACTGATGGAGGGGGAGAGTATACCAGTAAAGCTTTTAAAAAATTTCTTACTGTCAAGGGACTTACACATATGTTATCTTGCCCCTATACTTCTCAGCAAAATGGAATTGCTGAGAGAAAGCATAAGCATATTGTGGAGACAGTTCACCACACCCACGTGCCCCACATATGGCTTGGCTTACTTCTGCAACCCGACCCGCTCCCGTGGCCCATTTGACGATCCCGACCGGTCCAAGATCGATTCAACTATCCTGGCTTTAGATTTCTAGACCGACTATTGAACCAAGGGCATTTTCACCCCGAGTTTCTACGGATTTGACTATCCCGGCTCAAAATTTTGTACACGAAGTCCACTACACTTCTACCACCTATAGAGGAACCTACCATCCAAGCTCTTCCATCCCACATGGCAAAGAAAACTTGTCCTAACAAGTCATAGAGTTGACAAGCGCCCTCGTGCTGCAGACAACCTTGGGGAATCAGGTTTTGCAGCATACCGAGATGTAGCGTGCCCCAAACGAGGTGTCTCAAAGTAGGACAAGGGTAGATGACGAACCTCTCACACTACTACAATATTAGTTTTAGGTGGCGGATGATGGTAACGGATATTAGAAAAATCTTGTCGGATAAATTATATCTAACACATCATTTAATTAGTGGCGTATATTAGAAAAATCCGTTAGTTATATCCGACATAAATTCCTGGGGGATATTTATTGGCGGATATTAGAAAAATCCTGTCGGTTATATCCAACATAAATTCCTGGCGGATATTAAAAAAAATCCTATTGGTTATAATCGTCAGAATTTTTTAATCTTTTTTTTTTATATATATTTTTGATAGATTCTGGCGGTTTTTAAGTTAATGGTGGCGGTTATAACCGACATAAATTGACTATTTTATTATTTTACTTTCTGGCGGTTATTATTTTAATATTCCGGCGGTTATAACAAACAATAATGAAAATTTTATTATTTTAAAATGTTATATTGATAAAAATAAATAAACAAATATTTTTAAATTTTTTTTTTCACTCATGACCCTATAGTCTTATAAACTCAATTCCCACGAGCCATAAATTTTCTGAGAGAATAATAACAATAGATTACAATCTGAAGCTCTATTCCAATTCCCTTTTTCCTTCTGCCGACCAAGCCACCATCACCTGCTCCGCTTCTCTCCTCTCCACCACCACCTAATTTCTTAATTTCTCCTTCTTTTTTTATAATGTCCTAATTTCTAAGTTTAAATAAATTTTTTAGTCGTAATCCAGATTAATTATATAAAATGATATGAAAATTGATGTGTATTGAAGGAAAATTTTAGATCCCTAATATATTATAATAATCAAAGATTGTAATTGATGTTGTTTTGATATTAATTTGATCATGTGTTGGTTAGTTTATATATAGACACACTTTAGTTTAATTAACTGATATAATGTTTTGTTTAATAATTGATGTGTATAAATTAGAAGTATAAATGGTATAACACGCGAAAATTGTTATCGATTAGTTTGGACAATGTTATTCCGAATAGTTCAACTCTAATTTCGGATGTTTCCAATCTGACCGAATTGTTTAACTCCAATATTGGGACCACCCAATATCAAAAGTCTGGATCCACCACTGCCTAGACATATGCATTTTTATTTGAACTCATATAATCTTTTATTACACTCAACTTACTCTTTACAAATATATTATTTTTAATTATACTATCACTGTCTTTTTTAAAATTTTCCATCATTGAATTGAATAATTCAGTAAAATCAAGTAAAAAGATCAAATAAGAGTGTAGGTAAGTCCCTTGACCAACCCCTAATCACAAATTTACAATAGCCTCTAAGGTATTACAAAGCAAGTGAAATTTGTCACATGAGAGGATACTAATGATATAATTGGATTTATCCATGACATTGTGGAATTGTGAGATTGCTTTTATGGGTTAAGTTGATTTTGAAGTCTTGATTGGTTTGTCTAAATTTATGGATTTTGATGGAGTTTAATTTCTAGATATTTTCATGTAAAATTTTGAGTGAAATTCTTCAAATCTCAGAGGAAAATGTGAGATTTGTGAATGCTTAAAAATGAACTACGAAATCTCTTCAATTCGAGGGAATTGGACACTTTGAGACTGGAGCTAGTGGCATAGATTTACTTTTCATCTTTCGAGCCCAAGCCCCTTCATTCTAATAATAATGAAGCCGGTAGGCCCAATCCGCTTATCATTTCTCAGAACAGCGGCCTACCGCTGACTGACTTTATTTCCATAGGAGATCCGGTTGCTTTCCAATACGAGTGGCAAATGCGTGCACCTCTTTCAGAGCCTCTTTGAAAGCCTTGCTTGGGCCTTCCCTGATGCCCAGAGTCTTATCTCTGATGGTCTCATTGAGGATGTCATTCTCTTGTAGAGTAATAACACCTCTTCTCGCTGCAGGTTGGTCAATACCTGCAGCGAACACAAGGAACTGTTGTCCAGAGATCCCGCGACTAATTCGTAGCGTCTTTTAAACATTCACAAATTTCACCTCTTCTCTATGATTTTGAGCGAATGCATCTAACATATTTAGACATGATACTAAGCATGTTAGAAAACCAGGTAGGCTACAGTTAAAGATGTTAGCAATGGTATTTTTTTTTTTTTTAAATGGAGATACAAATCTAGATGCGTTCTAATGATCCTAACGGATTTAGCAAAAGGGTGGATTCCATAGTTTGAAAAAGTTCATATGATTATTATTTAGATAAAAACTTGTATTCCACATTAAATTCGGTTGAATATAAATATGCAACAGCGCTTATGGCCCGCACAATAATAAATGTTTAGAAGAAACCCTGTTTTCCGCAAGTTAATCAGAATCGACAAGATCCCCTCTTATTCTTGCTGCTTGAATCTCCCTTGGTTTGCTAGAATAGATGGGTCAGTACCGCTCTTTGCTAGGAGCCAATCCCGCCTTCTCCCCGAGAACAGAGAAAAAAAACCAAATGAAAACAGAATTCTACTACATTATTTGATTTGTCTAATACACCATCTAACATGGCCTTCTAGACTATTTGCATGTAATATGTGTTCGTAACCTAAATATTCTCATATAAATTATTTTCTTCGTTTTCTATTTATTTTAGATAGAAGTGGACATCGAATTGACCAAATTGACCAAACCGACTGATTTGAACCATATTGGTCGGTTTGGTTTGGTTTGGTCGGTTTGGTTTGGTTTTGATCAAGAAAAAGGCCAAACAATTTAAAACTTGGAACCAAACCAATTTATTTTTAATTTGGCTTGACTTTGATACTTTTGAGACCGACCAAAACTAAACCGAACCAACCATGTATCTTTTAATTAGTAATTTATTATTTTACACATGTCAACTTATTATAGATTATTTAGAGGCCTTACTATACACATATTGTAAGTCTTAACATATTATAAGTTGTAATGACTACCAACATTTGGGAGATTTATATGTATTTTATACGTATGTGAGGTTTTAATTAAAAAATCATTTGCTAGTATAAACTTTTATTTAATTGAAATTACTTTAGTCTAAAGAAGCTGGCAAAATTGCACTGTAGAAATGAACAGTGTTTTGCACCACATTTCAGTTTATTTACAGGATTGTCACTCGGTTGCTTTTAACACACTTTCGTTTTATTTACACAATTGCCACTCAGGCTTAAGAACTGATTTTCAACCGTTCGCAGCTTTCGACTCGGGGAGAGAAGGGAGTGGGATGTCATGCCTGACAGATTGGAGAGAGACGATGACTCAAATTTTTCACTCGGACACAGCTGGGTGTCGCTGTGTCGAGCGGAGAGAAAGGGGGGCAGAGCGACTACAGAGCAGGGAGACACAGGGACTGCATTTCAGCTTTGACTCGGGGAGAGAGAGGAAGGGGACATCACGGCTGACGATTTTGAGAGAGACAGTGGCTCCCATTTTTGACTCGGAGACAGCTGGGTGTCGCTGTGGCGAGGGAAGAGAGGGGACAGAGCGACTAACATAGCGCCTGACAGATTGGAGACGGACGGGAGCTAGGGATTTGGACTGAGTGAGAGAAAGATTTTGCTAGCTCCTCTGCCAGGATCTATGGGATTTTCTCCCATTTTAGAGAGAGATGGACAGGGAGAGAGATACACAGCGGAAAGCATGGGTGTGTGTATTCTTTAGGGTTGACGGGTTACGCACAGAGTCGGTGAGGAGGGCATGCCTCAGGGACGAATGGTAGCATCTGGGTTTTCATTTTTCTCCCTTGATTCAAAAGGTATTGCACTGCTTTTGTTTTCATTGTTTGGTGCCTAATTGTCATTTGATTTGTTAAAATTTTCTTTTATATTTTGTTCTTTCATTCAAATTCTAACGGATGTCTATAAATTGTTCAATTGGGTGCTAGATTATGTCTCTGTTTTTGTCAATTAGGATCTTCCACTGATTTAATTTGTTTTTTTCTTGATTACTTTTTGTGTGATTGATCTTTTTCTGTTTTAGAATTGTTAGGGATATTTTGTTCCTCCATTAAAATTGTCATAGATCTTTATAGATTGTTTAGCCCACCTTAGGATTTAACTCTTTTTCAGTTTATTGTTTTTAATTGTTGTTTACTGTTTGATTAGCCATTTCATTTATTAAAATTGTCATAGATATTTTTTCTCTCATTAATGCTATCATAGATATTTTATATTGTTTGCTTAACTATTAGGGCTTGCTCTTAGTCTTTAGCAGGTTGTTTAGATCACCTCTAGGATTAGCTATATGTCCACATTTTTCCTACAACCTAATCCATTGTGCTGACAACCATAATGTAGATAAATTTGTGCTGCTCCATTGCACATACGCAGTAAGCTGTGAAGTATATCAAATATTCCATAAGATTAACCAACGTTTGACAAGTTTAAGCAGATACACCAACACAGAGAGAAAACACCTAAATTTACAGCAACATGAAAGCTTAACAAATAAAAAAAAAATTTCGTAAAACATATATAAGTTTACACAGTTTATTGTTTTCAATTTGCTGTTGACTGTTTGATTTGCCATTCCCTTTATTAAAATTGTGATAGCTCATTTTTCCTTCATTAAAGCTGTCATACATATTTTAAAGTTGTTTAGTTAAGTTTACAGCTTGCTCTTTGTCTTTGTAAATAAGGGGGCTACACTGTTAAATTGTCACGGCTAATTTTCCCTTCATTATAGTTGGTCATAGATATTTTTAATTGTTTAGCTAACTATTACAGTTTACTCTTTGTTTTTCTAAATTAGGGGACTGCAGTATGTTGATATTTGTGTTTTTCAGAAATTTTTTTTCCTTTGCTTATGTGTAAACAAAATTCAGTCTCCTTTTTAACTTTATTGTTTTTTAATTAGGGAGTTTAGACTTTTTAGCTTTCTGTCTTTATAAATAATGGGGTTACACTCTGCTCATTTGTGTGTTTCTTCATACTTTCCTACTATTTGCTTCTCACCAAATCACCTTCAGGTTCCTTTTCCACTTCACATCATTCGAATATCTCTATGTTCCTAGGTTGTTTTTCCATTTCTTGGTTGCTTCTGTATTTTTGGGATGCACTTATAAATTTTATTTTTCATATGCATGTAGATCCAGCAAAAGCATACACATCAAACCCCTCATTCACACAACAGCCACCAAAGAGACCATTACTGAGGTATTTCTCAATCCATTTAAAATTTTTTTGTTGACTTTTGTTAACTTTTATACAAACTAATTTCTAATATAATTCTCCTTACTGTGTTTGGATACAAACTCTTTTTCCCTCTACTTTTTTGCCATGTCATGTATACTTGCAGCTCAACCACCTGCAAGTTTTTGAGAAACAAAGAGCCTCATCCACAGGAATCTGTAATTCATAGCAGCAGGTATATCCTAAACCTTTCGTTATCATCTCCTTATTCATGAAAACTTTTTCCTTCTATTTTTTTGTTGATACAGTATATAGTGTCCTTTTTCTAACTTGGAGAGAATCATTTCGTATTATTTGGTAACAATGTTGTTCTTCAGCTGCAAAAATCATCCTTTTAATCCATTTCAACTTAGGCTCAACTTTACTTTCGTTTCAGCTTCATTTTCATGTTAATCATGTCCTGTTTGTGTGTGTTTTCTGTTGGCATTGGAGGGTGGTGCTTAAACTGAAAGCTCTGGGTTTATTTATTTATTTATTTTATTTTAAAACCAAGCCTACATTCTTTAAAGCCACTATTAGTATTTAACTACGATTTGAATTAATTGATCTGTGAGAGGACTGATTCCAAAATACATCTTTAACAGCTTTATCCGGCTGATAATTCAGAACATTATCAAGTCTAAATGATTGGTCGTCAGTTAAACCCTTCTGAGATATACCCTTTGTTTGTTTCACTCTCACAAATTTAATCCGTTCCACCATCACAGTTTTTTTAGCTTTTACAATTTTCCCACGGTTTCTCGAATGCTTTTTCGATCTTAATACTATCTGCTCTGTTGCTTGCTGTTATCAAATTTTAAAAATTGAAACAACGTTATAGTTCTAACCAAGATTTGTCAAGGCCAAGGATGTAACCATCTTTGGTTTCACATTGTTAATTTGAATTATGAAGTTATGAGTGAATAAATTGGGAGTCTGAAATGTGTGTTTGCCACATGGGTTGGGTTGTATTAGCAACTCTGTGTGAGTGTAGAGGTGAGTGTGGAGGTGGAGGTGGTGGGATGGTGGTTTTGTTTTTGCGCCATCCCAAGACCAAGGAGAATGCATGTGAGAAAATGTGATGAGTTTTAAACTCATCACTCACTTATTAGTCAAGTCAACCATTTTCCACTCAACTCTGATCTGCCAATTTGCCAATTGGCATATGGTTTTAATTTCAATAGGTTTAAGGACTTGGTTTGGTTGGATTTCAACCATTAGATTTCGGATTAAACGCATTAGGTTGAACGATTAGATTTGGTTGGATTTCAACCATTACATTTCCTAGATTTGAAATCTGTTTACTATCTCATTTAATTGTTGTATGTTACCTCATTTAACTCAAATTTAATGATATTTGCTCCTCCAATTTCTCGGATTTCCTAACGGATTTACTTTCTTTGGAAATTTCAGGAATCCTGATTCTAGGACGAAGAATACACTGCATTGCCATCTTTAGGTATACAATTCTGCACACTGATTACATGTTCAAAAGCCTAATTAGTTATACACCATTTTTTTTTATTACCTTTGCAAGGCTTTTGTACTTAGATTTTAAATATGTGATTAGTTTATAAAGAATAAACGAGACAACTAATCATGGGTACATACTTCTTTTTCGATTTTATCCTCTGCATTATTTCTTGAATGAAATTGGTTTCATAGATGTAGGGATACAGCAACAACTGAGGTGTGAATGAAAGGTCTAGCCGTAACGATTTTAGGGTTTACAATTGATTCAAAAATATGAGAAAATGCTGCATTCTTTGTTTTTTTATTTTTTTTATTTTTTTTATTTTTTTTATTTTTTTGCTGTAGTGATTCCAACTTAGTATATACCCATTTTTATAGTACCATGAATAAAGGATATCCAATTGCTAGGATCTCAATTTGATAATCCGATTATAAATGGATCTATATAAATCAAGGCTAATTCAGTCCAACTTGATATAGTATGACTTAATATAACATATCCTTTGATCTTTATATTACTTATGGTTTTCTGTAGTGGTAGTTTAATTAAAATCGAAAAATATAATAAGAATGAGGTTACTCATTCATTATATTTTAATATTTTCTAGGTTTTAAATTAACTTTGATCTATCCAAATATGATGTTAATCGATTCTGAATCAATAAATAAGATTTGGTGATCCAAATAGGATTCAAAACTGTTAATTCGATTTCAAATATGATGTTACATGTACTGTAGATTGGTCACAGCCTAATAAGAAGACTAACTGGAAGTGATTTAGCCCTTCATTCTCATTTTTTTTTGTTCAGTCCAGTGGCAAGAAAAAATAAGGGTGCCTGAAAATCATTTACCTAAGCATATATGTTTAACAGCTTCCTTCACTGTAGATTAATATCCAACGATTCTAACCTATATTATATCGTTTATATACTTTTGGAAGTATGTCATAATCAATTTGATTTTCTATTGGTATGTGTCAAACCAATTTGATTCAGGTTACAAGGTTGAGGGTTGCGGATAGTTAATCATGTTCAATAACCTTAGTTACAGGGGCATTCACTTAAATTTTGTTTTCAAGTTATAGAAATACGGCTTTTCATTCTTAGTTAATATAAGCTTTCATTACATCTTCAGTTTCACATCATTCATCATTGTATTTGCTAATATCAGTTTTTAGTGTGATAAGCTTACTGGTGTATTGTTAAAAGGTAGTGAAATCATCTGTGCTTGACGACTTACCTGCTCAAACAGCGCTTTTTGTGTGTTTTGTTAACTGCTAAGTAGGTTTTTAGGAACTTTGTATTTTCATGTTTTCACGAATCACACTTCAGTTTTGAAAAAATTAAAACCAGAAAGTCTTCATGGAACTACCAAGTAGAAATCTCACAAATTTGTAAAGCTAATCAAACGTAGATTAACACTATATAATTTTGTTTGAAGCTCAGGTTGGAATCTGTGCTTAATGGTTTGCATTGGTTGCTGTTTTTGCATAATGGTTTGAATCTGTCATGTTCTTTTCTGATGGTTTATAATTGTATATTTGCAAAGATGCATGGCTATTAGACCTTCAATTAGAGTTCAGCATGATTGCATTGTGATAAGACTGAAGCTATACAATTACTATTTGCTAATTATTACTTCTGTCATTTAATTGAGGTTCGTGTAGAAGATGACTCAGGCATGTTGTTAGTATAGATTTACATTTCTTATTACTTTCATGCGATTATAAGTCATGAACAAGCCAATGTTTTTCAGACTTTACAGATGCCTATGTTCACATATGAATAATTTGGCTTATGGATATTAATGTTGTAAGCAAATATGGTAATTTTTCTATGTATGGAATATCTATTTAAGGTCTCATTGGTTTAACATTATCAAAACTTTTGCATACGTCTGAAGTTTAACGAATGCTTATATATACATATATATATATATATATATGTACATATGCATACATACGTATATATATATGTATGTATGTATGCATAAATATATGTATGTATGCATATATATATATATATACGTATGTATGCATATATACATATATACGTATGTATGTATGCATATATATATATACGTATGTATGTATATATATGTACATATATATACATGTATATGCGTATATATGTATGTGTATGTATATTATATCTTTGGAAATATGTACGTACCAACCGTCAAAGCATGTATATACCGGTATCCAAGTTGAGCACAACAATAACACCCCATTCTATTCAATCTCACTTATTGATACAGCGTTTGATGATCTAATTCACCTATTTTCTCTATTCCGATTTTGTCTCCATGAGCCTTGCACTCACATGCACTTGCACACAGTTTGCAGGTCATGTCTCAACCTTAGTTTTTCTTGCCTTAATAGCTTAGTTTGAACTAAGGCAGTATCAGTGAAGTCATTACATGTGGCTCTCTGATACTCTAATAGGGTCACCGTCGGCACTGGCAAGAACAAGGTTAGCATAACCAACTCTCAACTCATCCGGCAGATCTATCACTTGGCCATAATCCAGCAAGGCAACCTAACTTGGAAGAAAGGGAACGGGTAAGGGAGGTACGAGTATGGTTTTTTGGGGCCTATTTCTAGGGACGTGGTCTGGTGTTGATCCCTTCACAGGGTGTGCAATTCTAGAACACATTTTAATAGCTTTATCCGAATGGTCGTTGAGAACATCATCAAGTATAAATGACTGGTCGTCAACTGCCAGTGAAACCCCATCACTGTACCTGCATAGAATAATTTAAAACACATAGTGGTTTGGGTTAGATGGGTATTTGTTAACCCAGAGTGCTCAACCACATAAGTTAGACCTCTTAGTTGCTTTCTTTTGCTCTAATCCTGTCAATTTTTTGGCTGACGTGTTCACTTAATTAAAGGTTTATATTTCCCACTAGGAAGTATCTGGGAAAAGAAAAGGGGAAGGAAACAAGAGCCGAAGTAAAGGCTGTTTTCTTTTCTTTTAAATTGTTTAACGTTTACGCTTTTTATTTGTCGAGTTCGTAATTTAGTTCATTTATACCGTGCTTTTGGCATGGTTAATTCTTTTAAGTGTAGGTTACCCTATAGACGTTACAATTTAGGTCCTTAGTTTGATAGAAAATTGCTTTGATTCATCGTTTCTTATCGAATAGTTTGATCGCTATGCTCTTATTTCAGATCGTAACTCATTTTGATTGCGAGTTTGTTCTGTAAATTTTTTTTTCCTCTGCTATTAATAGCTTACCAAATGTGGTAGCAGAGTGATTGCATTGGTAGCTTATGTATACAAGTGAATTCAGATGACACAATGAGTTTGATATTAAAAAAAATGTCTGTTGGTTCAGTTTTTGAATCTTTAAAAACTGTCGAATCAATTTGAATATGTAATTTCATGTTTATTGTTAGGTAAATTGCTGTTTTTTTCGCTGATAAAAAGTATAAAGTTTGGTTGTGTAAATTTGTATAGTTTTATACATTTCGCTCGGTTGACAATTTGATAATGGCTGAAGTGCATTCTTTAATCAAATGTGTTTTCTTTCCTCAATCGTAAATGTCTTTTTGGTATTTTGCAGATCGAAACAAAGTGAAAGCTTTTGACTGTGAATTTTGCAACTGCTACCTTGCTGCTTTGGTAAAGTCTCAACTTCTTGATAATATCAATTAATTTTGGTTGTAATTTTAGGGTATTGAGTTGAATGCATATGCTACATGGCATAGGTTTAACATGATTAGAACTTTAATATCATGATGTGTGATGCTAATTAAGCACAATATGAGTATTTGTACCAAGAAAGACATGAGCATCTAACGGATCTACTTTCTTTGCAATTTCAATTTGGGAATTGAATTTATTAATAAATTACGATCTTTTTAAATTTAGAAAAGAGCATGTTAAAAGACCAATTTTCTTTACAAGAACTTGAATACAAAGTAGACCATCGGTGAAAACGAACCAACAACGATCATGGTAATTTAGTAATTTAAACATAACCAGCTTTGAGAGTCATACTCACTCATTGTCGGTTTTCCTTGCGAGCATATTTCCTACCCAAAGTTTCCCAAACTGTGTTGTCAAACTGCTGCATCATCATATCTTTCCAACTTCTAATAGTGTTTGGTCCCCATACTTTCCACAATTCGTTTTGGATCTTAATAGTAGCTACTATATTGCTTGGAATTGTCAATGATTTCAGTTTTTCGTTTTCTTTTCTTTTTGGAAAGCATGAGTATGAAGTTTGATCACTGAGTTTGACAAACAAATATATTGAACCTTTCAAATAGACTTTAAATTTATCCCATAGATTTTCTCCTTTTCTTTTTCTGATTGTTGCTGCCATGCTGAGAAAAAAAATTATATTAATGGCTGTTCATTTATCTATGTAGTATTTCATACTTATTCTGATTTCCACCGGTTCTTTAAATGGTGTGGTTTTTCAATCAGTTAACAGTTTTTAAAAATTCAGAACATTATCAAGCATAAATGACTGGTCGTCAGTTAAACCCTTTTGAGATTTACCCTTTGTTTTCTTTAAAATTGTAATGGATGTTTATAGGCTGTTTAGTTGGGTGTTGGGGAGATTAGGCTGTTGAGTGCACTGTTTCGTACAATGTTAGAGTGAGGTTTCTGTCTTTAAGAAATGGAGAAACAATCTAATTTTTCTCATATAGTGGAAGGTATTAATTTAGACTAATCAATGTTATTTAAGATCCAATCTTTTTTTATCTTTTCTAAAATATTTCGCACTCCTGTCAAAATTATTTTTCCTTTGAATATCATATCAAGTGAGATAATGTAAAACATAATTCCTCATGCATGTTCTGTATTTTAATTTATTTTGGACAGATGCTGGCCAAAATTTATTTGTTGTTCTAAAATCCATAATTTCCTTATTTGTATTATGTCTGCTCAACTTCGGTTTAGCCAAAATAGTATATTTATCAATATATACCTAAGAATATGTCTAAATATATGTATAAGCATCTGCATAGCTATATGTATATGTATGCATATATACATGTGTATATACATGTGTATGTATGCATCTGTGTGTGTATGTACATACCTATATAGGTATGCATGCATAGATGTGTATATAACTATATATGCATCTGTTTTTTTACATCCATGCATATAATATGATCATTGAATCTGTTGTCAAGACATACTATATTAAGGATCTTGCAATCATGAATTTGGCTGAAATGACTATTAGTACTGATTCAAGTGTTTAATCTTTTTGATTGTGGAAGGTTTAATATTTAAAACTATTTAGTCATTATTCTTAAGATATAAAGTGAATAATGAAGGCAAGCGAATTGAGGTGTTTCTAATTTGTATCAGTTCAGGCTCTAAAAAATTAGTGTTTGTTTTCGACAATTTTTGATATTTTCTATTAGTTTAGGCTGTACATGAAGTGTAATGTGGTATGGATGCTAGGTCGTGAACCATTATTGGCTCTATTTAGCCTATTCCTTCTAAAACCAAAGTTCTCAAACTCTAACCCCTGTACTAATTCAAAACCGATTACGATACCTCATCCTTACTTTAGGCCTTTAAATTAATATGGTGACAGAAGATGCATTCCCATTATTAGCAACTTTTCTTTCGTTAAATGTGAATTTGTCGTACATTAAGTCCATTGAACTGTCCCAGTTAGAGTCCGTTGCACTGTCACAAATTGAGTTACTTTTCCTGTATCCATTTGTTTGCGCTTCAAATTCTAACTCTCAATCTCATTGATTTGTTGTAGTTTAGATCAAGGTGTTATTGCAACGTTGTGATCTGCTCTTCTTGCTGCCTTTCATCTAGGGATCCGCACCTATTGCATCTGAATCAAGGCTTTGGTATGTCACCTAAACTAAGATACATTGTTTCCCCGTGCTTTCTGGTTGAGGTAATGCAGATTTATCATGTTTCAGTCGATTGTTTGGTTTTATCAGCTTATGTCATTCGTTTGCTACCTGCTTTGTTTTCATTCTTCGTTATCTCTGTGATCTTTTGATACTTCACAAGTTCATTGGTTTCTTTGTTTTTGTTGGTTTTAACTTAGTCTCAACCATTCTATTATTGTTCAAAGGTACATTGGTGTCATCTATGATTTTGCTTTAACCGAGTGTTCCTAATTCTTAATCGAATGTTGTTAGCCATTTTATATGTTTTTTTTTGTCAATTGCTTTCTTTCTTTGTCGCGTTTTGAATCTTCCAAACCACTCTTCAAACCTTAGTTACTTTGCTTGGTTGGTGTGCTTGGTGTTTTCGTTAGGTTTTCCTAAGAGTCAACCCTCTCATCCGTGCCAAAGTACATTAATAAGTGCTGTTAATAACTACGCTCTCCGAACAAATCTAAGTTATTTCCAAAAAACTCACCGCTTCTATATTTGAGTTTTAAAACATTTTGACAACGTTATTTGAAGATCTACAAGCTAAACACATTTTTCTTTCTAAAATACACTTGAAATCGTAGTAATTCACCAAAAGAACAAGTTCCGTTGGATGAAACAGTTTAGATTTTGTTTAAAAGGTTTTTTGGTGGTATCTACACGTTTGGTTAGTGCAAGAAGATTTGAATTTTTTTGCTCTTGCTTTCCTCCACTGTAACGGCTTTTTGGGCTTTCACTGTATAAAGATGGAACAATTGTTAGATAAGATAAAGCATTACTACAAACAACTAAGGGGAAATATGAAAGATCATAGAGAAAATTCTTAGTAGTTATACAATCACAATTTAAGTTACTTTTGTTGTAATTGTTTGTTTGCACTTCAAATTATTAATCTCAGTCTCACTGCTTTTTCGCAGTTTAGATTGTGCTCACATTGTTCAATCATAATCTGCTCTTGCTACTGCCTTTAATCAAGGGGTTCCGAACCATTACGTTTCAATCAACCCTTTGGTATGCTCTGAACTTCAATACATTGTTTCCCCATGCTTTCCATTTCAGATAGTGCGATTTTATAATTTTTAACATAACTGTTAGGTTTTTTCACCTCATATTAAACGTTTGTTCTAAGCTTTGTTTCTCATTCTTCGTTATCTTTGTAACCTCTGATACTCCAAAGGGCCGATAGTTCGTTTTTTTTCGTTTAAATTTTGTCTATGCAATTCTGTTATTGTGTGAAAGTCTCTGGGTCTCTGTGATTCTTATCTAACCCAGTGTTTTTAATTGTTTATCAAATGTTCTTTGTAACCTCTGTTTCTCCATAGGTCCGATAGTTCCTTCTTTTTTTTGGTTTAAATTTTGTCTATGCAATTCTGTTATTGTGTGAAAGTCTCTTGGTGTCTCTATGATTCTTATCTAACCCAATGTTTTTAATTGTTTATCAAATGTTGTTAAGCATTTTATATGTTTTCTTTTGGTTGCTTCTTTTCTTTGTTACGTTCTCACTTTACCAAACCGTTCTTCGAAGGTTAGTTACTTTGGTTGGTTGGTCTTTTCGTTAGGTTTATCTGGTAGTCTACTGTCTCATCCTCCCCGAAGTGCTTTAATAAGTGATTTTAACAATTCCAATCTCTCAACAAACCTGACATATTTCCAAAAAAAAAAATCACAACTTCTATATTTAAATTTTTAAATTTTTTTACTGTGTTATTCTAAGACCTACAAGCTAAACAGATTTTTCTAAAAAACATAAGTATTGACACTATATTTAATTTGTGATTCAGGATAGATAAAATGGTCAAAGAGATTGATCGAAGCGAACAACAAATTCTAGGAGGAGTTTTGGTTAAAAATTTAAAGGAACTGATTGAGGCTCGAAACAATAACAAGATTCGAAGAAGGATACAGATATATAGAGAAACTCCCCCAGGACCCAGTACAAAGGAAGAAGTCAAATAGAAAAACAAGGATGGGTTTGCGTGTTTATGGTAAGGGTGCAAACCGAAACAAATTGGTCGTCCACACTATCCATTCGCCTGAAAATCGTAGTAATTCGCCGAAAGAACAACTTCCGTTGAATGAAGAAGTTTAGCATATTTTTTGGCGGGTTTTCGGTGGGATCTACAAGTTTGGTTGTTGCTACAAAATTGGAATTTTGTTGCTCTTTCTTGCCTCCACCGTAACATCCTTCTAGGTTTTCAATGTATAGAGACTTAACGGGTGTTAGATAAGATAAACGCCATGTAAACCTCTTTTGTTTGGTCATAACATCAATAATGTAAACAATTAACCCTTTTACCGTTCAAGGATGAAGTGTTGGCGTGCTAGGAATATGTTTCTCTGCTTATATATTTTTTCCATTTCTCTTTTTCTTGATAGGATCATTTGACTCATGCTTCTTTGTTGGTTATACACTAATAAAACAGTTCTTCTATTAATGTTTTGATATTATTCGTTTGTTTTTAAATTGCAAATTTAGTTGTTTTTATGAAGATTCTATTCTCATTTTTAACTTTGAAAATTTTGGTTGGTCCTTCAACAATTTTTAATTGGTTACTCCAACACATATGTTTTATGCTGTGTCAGTTCATTCTTTGCAGCCATATCTGAATTCTTGAAAACTATGGTAATTAATGTGGTTTTTCGGGTGGTTTTTCAAATGGGGAAAAAGGGGTGAGCGACGAATTTATATTATTATTCTCGGTTGGTATGTAACTATTTGAATATGGAAGGCATCATATTATGCAAACAATGCAACAATTGTAAATAGAAAAGGTCCTTGCGGTGTGCAAAGGGTGGGTTTAGAGATGGTGAGGTTTGCCTAGGTGGCAAGATTAATGCTCATGGTTTCGTAGTTGTGTTGATAACTGTGAAAACAGCCGACATTGGTCACCTCACTGTTCCTCTACAATGATTTTAATGTTTGGATCTTTAATGACTTCTCAACTTAATGGGTTTTAACTACTTCAAAGTGATTCATACAGTTGGATACGATTTTATTAGAGGGTGTCAATTTAAAAGTATGGATTAGGGGTTTACATTTTTAGGGTCTTCAGCTATGGATACAAAGTTGTTCATCACGTTAGACAGGAATTTCAAGTTGAATTATGACCGTGATAAAATGTTTCTTATGTTTACTTACCTTGGAGTGATTTCAATCCATTTTTTCCACCATCACAGATTTTTCATGATTCTTTTCAATTTTTATTTCTTATAAATAAAGTTGTTCCAGTCAACTTATCGACGTGTTGACATGTTTAAGTGGTGGTGCTTAAACTCAAAACATCCTGGAGTATTGTTGACATGTTTAAGTGGTAGTGCTTAAACTCCAAACATCCTAGAGTATATCTATCATTAATAATTTGTATCAAGCTCACCGTTTAATAAGAGTCCAACCTACAAACTTTTTGAAACAGAACAATGAAATCGCATCATAGATTTCTATGTTTCCCTAAACATATTTAATGAAAAAGTTTTCCAACGTTTACAGGATCTAACATATACTGAATGCAAGCTTTAATCTTCGAACTCTCAAATGATGCATATCCTTTAGCATCCATCACAAATGTTTCTACATATGTTGTTGATTAACTACGTGAGGTGCAACTCCGTCTTCGACTGTTAAAATATATTTATTGTTGGAAATTAAGGGCTTAGACTCTTAAATATACACTTTTCATCTTGCACTATCTATCGGTCTAAAGTGAGTCAAACCTAAATAATTTGTTTGTTTCTGTCAAATTTATAAATGCATGTCTTATATTAATGTCGTTGAGCCGTGCATTAGTTTTTATAGTTCGATGTTTGTTTTGTCTTTGGCTTCTCTTTGATTATATATGTGTTTATATTTTGTCTTCCTATTTCTCTAGGTTTTGTTTTTATCGTTGGAGTCCTGCACTGTTCTTTCGTGGCATTCATTCACAGCTACGCTTTCGTCTCTACAACGGTTAGATTTTTGTCCCTTTAAAGAGCCTTTAACTTTTTATTTTTTATTGTTACTCTTTTCTCGGTTTACATGTTCAATCGTCTATGCATGCTTTTTTGGATCATAGTAACGTCGTTATTCAATATTTATGTTGCTTTCCTTTATCACCATTTTTTTGCAATCATCGTTCACTTTAATCATTAATTTTCCACTCTGCACTGACAAACCACACTATTTAAGGAAGCAATTACAAATCAATTGTCTCTATTCTTCATTCTAATCTAAAAAATTAGGATTATGTTTTTACTATTATGTTAACAAAGTGTTTGCGATTCTGATGACCTCTTACTTGAATGGGTTTTGGTTCACCACTCATTTCATATGGTTAAGATAGTTGTTTCATCGTCACATTCCTTCTGTTAGAAAGTAAACCATTGCTGTGTGGTTTTTTCTGTTTATGTAGATTTATGTCTAGAAGAATAGGGCTATCTAGGAATGCCGCTAGAACTGAGCGTGCTGATTCGCCTACATCTATTGCAGTTGTTAATCTTGATGATATCGTATTACAAGATGTTCCCATCAGTTATGACGACGAATACAACAATACTTCAACCTCTTTACTATTTTTAAACAAAGGAAACAACCCTCCCCAAACATTTACATCAAGTTTTGAACAACATACTCCTGTTCGAGGTCTTCTTACCTCACATTCAGCAGCTGGAACAAGTTCTCATCAAATTTCTGTACCCCTTTTTCTTGCTAACCATGCCACTATGCGCCGGTTGTTAGCCAAAGATGCTCCAACTATTCATTCTGTTAAAAACCCGCTCATCACTGGCATGCCACCTATCAGAAAAAAAGAAAGAGTATGCACTCTTTCAATATAACTTTGTTTACATTTTGCTGCTGATTTCAAAATTTGGCTTATCTTCGTTAATTAACTTCTATCAATTGGTTTGATGTATGCTTCTATTATTCATTGTTTTTATAGGGATTGATCCAGAATATGTTGATTTTGGATTAAGAAATTGCCAATGTCAATATTGCAGTGCTCTATTTTGGTCTGCAGAGCAGACAAAGAACCATCCTGAGCGTACTTCTTCTATTTCTACCCCGCAGTTTACTGCGTGTTGCATGAGTCAAAAAGTTCAATTCCCACGTGCTAAACCCACACCCATTTTTTTGGATGAATTGTTAAACCCCACAAATTCTCAAAGCTTTTTACAGTTTAAAAGAAATATTAGATCGTATAATTCAATGATGGCATTAACTTCAATGGGGGCCAAAGTTGATCCATCGATCAACAAAGGTCGAGGTCCATATGTTTTTAAAATTAATGGTCAAGTGCATCATTTGATGGGTTCTTTGTTGCCTCCAGAAGGCGACAATCCTAAATTTGCACAGCTCTACATTTATGACACTCAAAATGAAGTCAGTAATCGTATCGGTTGTTTGAACAGATCAGAAGCATCTGAAAAACTCGATCAAACGGTTGTTAGTGGCCTCATTAAAATGCTAGACGAGTGTAATGAGGTTGTTCGACTTTTTAGGCAAGCCAGGGATAGAATTGATGAAAGGTCCACAAGTAATTTACGTCTACGTTTGTACGGTGCACAGAGTAACCATGATGTACAATACAATTTGCCAGCATGTGACGAGATAGGTGGCTTAATAGTTGGGGACATTGGCCAAGTTCACACCGAAAGAGATATTGTTGTGGAGCATAGGACAGATGGCCTCCAAAGAATCACAAAGTTACATCCTAAATACATGGCTCTACAATATCCTCTTCTTTTCCCATACGGTCAAGATGGGTACCGGAAAGGTCTTCCTTGGAATCCAAATTTTAGGGGCAAAAAACCAAAGACTGGGGGGGTATCAATGAGAGCATTTTTGGGTTATCAAATTCAAGATAGACCAGGACATAGTGACACCCTGTTGAAAGGCGGCACATTGTTTCAACAATACTTAGTTGATGCATATGCCACACTTGAAGAAGATAGGTTAGATTTCATTAGGGCAAATCAAGATTCTTTTAGAACAGAAGGTCTTAAAGGAATTCATGAAGCGCTCAAAGCAGGAAATGCAACCAGTTCTTCTGTTGGCAAAAGGGTCATTCTCCCAACTTTATTTACTGGCAGTGTTAGATATATGATAAATAATTATCAAGATGCCATGGCTATATGTCGCCACCTTGGAAATCCTGATTTATTTATCACTTTCACATGCAATGCTAAATGGCCTGAAATTATTGAAGATCTGCGTGATAAACCTGGTTGTAAAGCTGAAGACAGGCCAAATTTAATTTCCAGAATTTTTAAAGCAAAACTTGACCATTTGATTAAATACCTCAAATCAGGAAAACCTTTTGGCGATGTCGAATCTGGTTAGTTCTTTATTGTTGACCAATTTTTTCCTTTTATTTGTTTCTATTTTATCATTGCAAGTCCTAAGAGTCTATGGTTTTGATACTCCTGCATATTTATTATTTTTTTAAACAGTGATTTACATGGTTGAGTTCCAAAAAAGAGGTCTTCCTCATTGTCATATCTTGTTATGGGTCAATCAACATTATAAATGTCATTCTCCTTACGATGTTGATTCTATCATTTCGGCTGAGCTTCCTGATGAAGAACGTGACAAAGCTGGGTATGATGCAGTTTCGCAGTACATGATCCACGGCCCATGTGGTGTTGCGAATCAATTTTCACCTTGCATGAAAGAAAACAAATGTTCAAAAAAATTTCCTAAATCTTTCACAAGTGAAACCACTTTTTCCACAGAGGGTTTTATTGCATATAAGCGTCGAGATATACAAAATCTGTTTGTTCTAAAAAACGGAATCAAGCTAGATAATACATTTGTTGTCCCTTACAACCGTGAGCTATTGTTGAAGTATCAAGCACATATAAACGTTGAATCATGTTGTCAATCAACACTCATTAAGTATCTTTTTAAGTACATAACTAAAGGTGTTGATCGAACTAGAGCTGTTTTTGAGGATGACGAGTTTGATGAGGTTGTGGCTTACCTAAACTGTAGATACTTATGCCCATACGAAGCAGTGTGGAGATTGTTACAATTTCACATTCATTTTAGAGAACCATCGGTTGAGAGGTTGTCTGTACAACTTCCATCTGACCAAAATGTTGTTTTTAGAGAGACTGATGATCTAAACCATGTTGTTAACCACCCAAATCTTGAAAGCACTATGTTAACACAGTGGTTTCAAACCAATGTCCAAGACCCTGATGCACGTACGTTAGCTTACGTTGAGTTTCCTACCAAGTATGTTTGGAAAAATGATGAAAAACAGTGGACCCGTAGAAAAAGAGGTAGATCTCTAGGAAGGGTTGCGTATATTCACCCTGCTGCGAGTGAATTATACTATTTGAGGTTGCTATTAAATTACCAAAAAGGCAGCTTTAGTTTTAATGATTTAAGGACCGTCAAAGGCATTCTTGAACCCACATTCCAAGCTGCATGCACCTCGCTTGGATTATTAGGGGATGATAAGGAATGGAATAGTGCTATGTTAGAAGCAGTTGTCACTGCGTCATCCTTTCAATTAAGGCAATTGTTTGTCACATTGGTTCTCTTTTGTAATGTTGCTAATCCATCAACTCTATTTGAAACACATTGGAAAATGATGTGTGATGACATTTCGAAAAACATGATGAATGTTTTTGGCCTACAAGATGTCTCTAAGTACCAAGATCAACTTAGAAACTCACTTTTGTACGATTAGAGAAATTGTTTGCTGCTTCGAATAGCTCTTTGTCAAAACATCACCTACCACAACCAAACAAGTTGATGATGGATAGAATTACAAATAGGAGTTTGAGGGAAGAGTTAGATTACAATGTTGACTCACTAAAACATGAGCACTCAAACCTATTCAGGCTGTTAAATAAAGAGCAAAAATATGTTTATGACAGTGTCATACAAACAATTCACAACAACAGATCTGGCCTGTTTTTTGTACATGGTCATGGTGGAACAGGCAAAACTTTTTTGTGGACCATCATCATGGCTAGAATTAGATCCCAAAATCAAATTGTTTTAGCAGTGGCTTCATCTGGAATTGCCTCCCTCTTACTTCCTGGTGGAAGAACGGCTCACTCTAGATTTAAAATTCCAATCAACATCACAGATTGCTCGGTTTGTGAAATTAAAAAAGGGACTCATCTTGCAAAACTAATCACTGAAGCTGCTCTCATTATTTGGGATGAAGCCCCTATGAATCATAAACGATGTTTTGAAACCCTAGATAGATCCCTTCGTGATGTTCTTAAGGGGTCAAAACCAGGTTTTGACCATTTGCCGTTTGGAGGTAAGCCGATTCTTTTTGGAGGTGACTTCAGACAAATTCTTCCTGTTGTTCCAAACGGAAGTGTTGCTGACATTGTCGAAGCTTCATTGACGAGTTCATACCTTTGGCCATATTTAACAAAATTTTGTTTGAAGCAAAACATGAGGCTTTTGAAACCAAGTTTGGACGAAAGAGAAAAACAAGAACTCGCTCATTTTGCAAAGTGGATATTAGACATTGGCAACGATACTGCTACCAACTCTTTACCTTCAACTAATGAAGAAAGCTCTTGGGTTCAAATTCCAGAACAATTCCTTATCCGTTTTGATGTAGATCCTATCAAAGCTATGGTTTCAGCTGTGTATACGAATTTCAAAACTAATTTCCGAGATGTGCCATATTTGAAAGAAAGAGCTATTGTCACACCACGAAATGATACAACAACTGAAATAAACGCTTTTATGTTGGGTATGGTGCCCGGCGAAAATCGTACATATCTCAGTTTTGATTCAGTCACTTCTTCAACAGAAAATTTAGAAAATTTAGAGAAAATTTAGATGTGCTTTATCCAAATGAATTTCTAAACCAACTTGATTTACTTGGTTTACCGCACCACAAGTTAGATTTGAAAGTTGGCACCCCAGTGATGTTGCTTAGAAATTTAAACCAAAGCAGTGGATTGTGTAATGGAACACGATTGGTTGTGATGCAATTGAACGACAGAATTATACAAGCAACAATCATAACGGGAAGCAACATTGGTGAAAAAGTTTATATCCCCAGGATAATTACTGAATCATCTCAACATAAATATCCCTTTACTCTACAAAGGCGGCAATTCCCTCTTAAAGTTTGTTATGCGATGACAATCAACAAAAGCCAAGGACAATCCTTAAAAATTGTTGGCCTATATCTATCGCAAACTGTTTTTTCACATGGACAACTATATGTTGCGCTATCCATAGTCACCTCAAAAAAGGGTCTCAAAATTGTTATTGCTCACAATAGCGACATGCCTTACGGTTATACAAAAAACATAGTTTATAAAGATGTTTTAAAACATTTACAAGAAGGTGTAACTTTGTATTATTATTTTGTCCATTTGTTTATTTTTGTAAACATGACTTCACTACTTATTTGTTAAATCACGTTATTCAATTTTGAATTTAATTTGTTCCTAAATTGTTTATATATCTAGATTAATGGAGGAGCAAGCAATTCGTTTTCTGACACCATACCAGCCAGCAAACAAACTCCACATCAGGGTATGCAGAATATGGGTCACGAAAAGCATTGGAGACAATCCTCAACCTATAAGTCTTGATTGCGTCTTCGTTGATAAGGATGTAAGATTTTTACACCTTCTTACTTATCGTTGAATGCTAGCATTTTTACGTATCCAAATGTGCATGCCATGTTCTCAGTACAACAAACTTTGTAATCAAACATAGACTAAATTCCACGAAGAAACTGATTTATACACTTTGCTACCCAATTATGCATCGCTTACATAATTACCATTTGTCTGATTAATTGTTTCACTAGATATGATCTTGGGCTTAACATTAAATTTATACTGGGTTAACAAGTTCATGTAGATAAACAACAAATGAAAAACCTATTTTCTCCATATGATGGCATGGCTTTCAATAAATTTTGTTCAAAAAAAAAAAATTTCACAGTGCACCATGCACACTTTTCCTATCTTTGGATTTCACTACAAATATTATATTTTGTTTTGTTTGAGGAAGCTTTTATGACTCTAGAAACAAAACTAAGTATGAACTATCAAGTCTTCTTTTCCTTAATTTTTCTTCGTTGTTTTTTAACCTATACAAATCAAACTAAATGTCATTTTGCAAGGTTGCTTCAACTACTACCGATTTGATTCTTTGAATAATCTCCACTGTTATCTTGCATATGATCTTAAATGCTATCTAAGTAGTCACAACTAGACTATATTGCATGTTTACATGATTCTTAAACTATATGCATTAAATGTTATCCCACTCATTTAGTATTATGTCTAATCTTAAAATTCTCCTTCTAAAAGAGAGATGCGGTTCACGGAACCATCAACGGTCGAGACATCCAATTTTTTTTGGACCGTCTAAGTGTCGGCAATGCATATGAAATCAACAAATTTCGTGTCATTCACAACAAGAGATCAAGCAAGGTTGTCCCTCATGCAGCTATCATTGAATTGAATAGGAAAACCACAATCGTTCCTATTCACAAAACAAGTCAAGAACTCCCAATGCACTGGTTCAATTTAATTGAGCTTAATCAACTTCATCAGAGAATCGACAACGATGTTGAGCTTACAGGTAACAAATTTAGTTTCAAGTGCCGCTCAAACATCTAAGTTGATCATTTATATGTTTTTGTTGCCTTCAGTGTCCACTCATTCCTCCCATTAAATATTATATGTAGATGTGTTTGGTTGCCTAACGGCTGTGCAGCCAACTGAAGAAATCACTATCCAGAACACAAGAGTTGCAAAGAAGATAAATCTAAACTTGCAAAACATTAGGTAATTTCTATTTATGTTAAACTCTAAATATTATGTATATGCCACCCTATTTATGACATATACCAAACCATCATCTTTTGTATTACTTACAGAGACGAAACAGTGAGAATAACCTTATGGGGAGAGACTGCAACAGGTTTTGAGACCAGTGGAATACAAGAACTTTTGCCACCCGTATTTTGTGCTTTCACAAGCCTGAAAGTAAAACAATACCAAGGTTATACCCTGCCATACATTATCTAACTACTTAAAGTTTCAGTTTGTTAATTGTTATCTCATATTTACAGGAAAACCTGTTCTCGGAAGCACAGGATCAACCGTTTGTGTTTTCAATCCAGAGATTCCACAACTCTCTGAATACAAACACAAGTAAATCAACAACCCTTCTTTAATAACTTTTTCGTTTATATTTCTTCGATTAATTTTACTCACCCTAAACATGCACAAAACAGGTTTAAGCATAGCAGATCACCTCTTCAAATCCTGCCCACCTCAGCTGAGATGTATACGGGCCATGCAGTCAGTGCTACTACTAAGTCAAAAACAATTGACGAATTGCTTTTACTTGATCCTGCCTTGCACAAGGTTAGTTTGTCATCACCAAACTATTCACCGAAATCACCTCTTTTTACTAATAGATTTTCGTGCTGCATCTAACTTGACCGTCTCTTGCTTTGCTTCTCTATCTGTTTATACTCTATGTTTGCAAAGTTAATTTCAAAACCTCATGTTTCCATAACAGAATGCAAGTTTCGTATGCCAAGCAACTATTGTTGAATTCGATTTGACTAAGGGCTGGTGGTACAAATCATGCCCGTCTTGCCATAAAGTTGTCAAGAAAAACTCTGAATCGTTTGAGTGCAATGAACATGGGTTCATAAACAGATTACCCGAACCATGGTAATATACTTTTACCCCTATTTTACATATGATGCTTATAATACGTTGCTGAATCCTTTTTTATTATCTTGCGATTATGACAAATAAGTCGTCTCCCCAAGGATTACATAATACATAAATGATCCTTCATCCATACAAAGGATGCCCCTATGGTGTGCATCCCAGGCCTTGCTATAAAAAATTCATTCAACAATCATTTCGAAAATTCTTCTTTGGTTATCACTTTCTGCTTAACAGCTGTGATTCTAAATAGGACCATTGTCAAATATCCTTTTAAATTTGTTCCAATTAAGAATTGTAGCCTACAACAATCTATTTTCTATGTCATTGGGTTGCACTCATCCTTATTTTATGTGTTTTAGTCGTGCTTATTCATATTTACACATGTTCATTAGTTTGGAACTAAACTTCCAGTGCACAACTTTTGAACATCATATTAATTGTTAAACTATGCTTTACACTCTTTGGGAACCATCATTTCCATTTGTGCTTCTACTTTATAGAGCCAGCAGCTAAAATCAACTTATAATGTTGTTCCATGATTGATTAACTCAAAACTTTCAAACATACACTTCTCATTCTGCACAATATGTTGATGTGAGGTAAATTAATTCTAAATAATTTGTCTTTCTATCCATTTTATACATGCATACCCTGCATTACAGTGGTTCTATTGCATTTGGTACATTACCCACAAGATTGCTATTACCAGTATTGTTTTCCTAACAACCAAATATCCTCATCTTACCTAGGTTCAAAATAGATCTTATTGTGGAAGATAGCACAAATCAGCACAACTTCCTCATGATAGGAAGACATGCCGAAAAAATACTTCGTGTTTCTTGCCACACTCTGGTGATAGAAGATGGACATGAGGATCCTTTCATACTTCCACCAACTCTAAAAAATTTGGTCGGCACAACAAAACAATTTCAGCTTTCTTTTGGAAATCAAAACACTGACTTTGGAAAGACAGACTTCATAGTTCATGGACTACTCCAAGATCAACCGCTTTCGAGCCCAACAATTGCCTTAGTCATACCAAAAACACCTACTCCCTCCGTAGGAACACATATTATGACTCAAGCGACCCCCAGCCCAGTGATGCCTTCTCACCGACCAAATCAACAACCCCAGTTAGTTGCACCCACAAAGACTTCAAAAAGAGCATTGTTTCCTAATGAAGCGGACAAATCTGACAGGTAAAGTTTTCTCTTGCTTTAAAATCTCATGTGTAAATCTTCCAAACCATGCTTCTCTTAGGTATACTACAATTTTAGACTTATAGTGTTTACAATTTGATACCCCATTGACCATGGGATTCCATTTAACTCTTTTTTTTTTATTGGTTTGTTATGTTTTAAGAGCATACATGTATATATGCTTTTGATGAAGTTCTCAATTCAAGAGCATATATGTGTGTGTGTGTATATATATATATATATATTTGAATTTTTACTATTTAAATTGTGTTGAGCTTGCGTCTGACTTAGTGCTGGTGTTTGTGAGTTTCTAAATTTCTTCCAATAGCTTACTTTTAGTTGCTTTTGATTATATATTTCTCTTCAGAACAATTCTTCTACTTGCATTCTTACCAGCTATACTATTGCAAACCAAGCCAACATATTTGAGCTCTGTTTTTTCTTACTATAGGTTTCATAATGAACATCTACTTCTTCTTTGCTTTTTCAACACTTGATTCGATTGCACATGATTTTTTGTTGTTTTTGTACCTGTATCAATAATTTTAACACTGGAAGGCCGTGCTGCATTCACTGCATCAATAATTCTAACACAGCAGAAATCAACCTGATTTCCATGTTTCTTTACTTCTTGCCGCAAGGACAAACAAATATATTGAACCTTTCAAATAGACTTTAAATTTATCCCATACATTTTCTCCTTTTCTTTTTCTGATTGTTGCTGCCATGCTGAGAAAAAAAATTATATAAATGGCTATTCATTTATCTATGCAGTATTTCATACTTATTCTGATCTCCACCGGTTCTTTAAATGGTGTGGTTTTTCAATCAGTTAACAGTTTTTAAAAATTCAAACATTATAGTTCTAAGCGTAATCATTTGATTAGTCTGCCTTTTAGCATAATTCTCGGAGACCAAAGATCTAACCATGTACAAGACCCAACTATATAGTTTATTTCTATTTCCACCTGGTAGGCTTTCATTTCAGTAAAGCCTTTCATTCATTTCAGATAGGTGAAGCAGCACTCATTTGCTTTTATATATTAATTTTGCTGTGTTTTCAATTGTTTTTTTTTTTTTGGGCTTTTTTCCCATCTCAGATGTGTCTCTATATACATGCACTAATGATTGCAACGTGTTACAACGGTGTATTAACTTTGGTGTATTCTTAACTGATGTGTCCAATTTTGTTTTCACTAACTATTATAAACATTAGGGAAATTTAAAGCCAAATATCAAATTTTAAGAATTTTAACTTGCAGCCATTTTTGTTGGTTTCTGTAAAGATTCTAATGGTTTTCTGTTATAAATTTGTCTCTATTAGATTATTGTTTTTCAATTTAAATTTTACTCTTTTCCAACTCTGGGTGCTTCACTGAATAAATGATACAGATTCTTCTTGAAGTCAATTCGTTGTTTGTTTTCCTTTAGAGGATTGTTGTGCTATCTTGATCAACCTGCACTGATTGTTATCTGGCCACTGAGCATTATGTTTGGGGTGTAGGGTGCATTTTCTATGGTATGGGGTGTCCGAGAGAAACGGTTTTTGAATTAGGTCTGTTTGGATTTCAAGGATTACGTTTGGGATTTTGTTTGTAAGATTTGCAGAGAGATGGGGGTGTTTCAGTTTTTATGTTTACTTTCACTGGTCCCATTCTCCCTTCCTTAGATGTTCTCTAACCTTATAAATTTGTACCTTCATTGACAGCAAAAAACCTCGCAGCGACCAAACAGACACAACCAATTCTGCTAGAATTGCTAAAGAATTCCACAATCTGGTTGTCCCCAAAATTGAACCAGCAAACAAAGTGCCGATAGCCACACTCAAAACAAAATCTCAAACCAAAAAAACCAAAGATAGGTAAATTACAATTTGTTTTTCCAGCATACACCTACATAACAAACATCATGGTAGCATTTGTTAAACTATGATTTATATTCTTTGTTATAGTGCGGAAGATGTCCACTCTCAGAAAAAGTTAACACCACAATCTCCGTGATCGACTGCAGCAGGGCTTTCTACATCTTTTTGCCTTTCAACATTTTAGCTTAAGGACTTGACTGCTTCAACAACAACGAAACACTCTTTTTGTTTTTTGGTAACTACTGAAATAGATAACCAACCTACAAGACATATTTTGCCATCTTAAATGTAATGACAAAATATGTGTGGACAACATGTTACTCCTGTTTCTTAAGGAAACAAACATCTTGCATAGTTTTTACTTTGCGCGTTTGTGCTTCAAAACTATGATGCTAGAATAAGAACAAAACAGTTTTTATATGTTTTGTCAACTGCTCAAACATGTGCCTAACTTAAATGACATCTATTTTGCCACCTTTACTACAAGGCCAACATTTGTGTAAACTACATGTTACTTCTGCTTATTAAGGAACCAAAACGTTCAGTTTCGTTCTGTTAATTGATCAATGTCTTTTCACATCAGTTAAGTTGAATGTATATAAAAACAAAACTACATATCTTATCAACCCCATTCACTCATCTATCCCTCTTTTCATTCTTCATAGTGTTAAATTTATTCAAATAAAACATATCTTCATCATACAGCTCAACATCATGTATTCAAGTCCCGCGGCATTGCGCGAGCACATTTTCTAGTTTACTTCTATTCCACTTGATGAACTTTTTATTTTCCAAAAAAACTTAATCTTTCAATTGAATTAGAATGTGTGATATGTGTGGATGTTTATATACCATCTCTATATTTTTCAATATTTCTTGTAGATTATAGTCCTGCAAGAAACTATGGTTTGACAAAATTGATTAAAAAAAATGGTCTGATTATTACTATGTTTAGTTGCCGTCCAGATTATAGCCATACAAAAAAAAAAATTTAATGAACAATGTCAAACTATATTTATATATCATCTCTGACTGAAGGAAGCTATTTTTTAACTCCCTCAATAATTCATTATTTTTAGTTTGTTTTTTAATTTGATTGGTTAATTAAAATAAACTGCTATATTAAAATAAGATTTCCGGACATATTTTGAGTGCCACTTGTTGCTACATGAATAAGCCTCCAAATTTCTTATCATTTGGTTGAAGATTGTGGTCATTTAAAAAAATATTGAAAATTTTAAGTTTAGATTATTGGAAGAGCTAAGGGAGTGGTGTTTATGAAAAGGATGTGAGCGTAGCAAAAAAATGAAAAGAATGCGAGAAATGGTGAAAAAATAGCTTATGTATTTATAGGAAAAGAAGTTTTAAATTTTTTTTTTTTAAAATTTCGACCTGAAAAAAGAAACAAAAAAGAAAAAAGAAAAAGAGGGCCCTTCAAATGGGCTACTAGGCTGGATAAGAATGGCCAGCCCAATGGCCAAGGCCCAGCCATCCATTTAGGCTTGACAAACGGGTCATGTTTGCCGTGTTTCGTATTGTTTTCGTGTAACACCTATTATCTTAACGGGTTCTTAATAGGTCGGGTCACTTTACCAAACAGGTAAAATGACCCAATCTGTTAAGAAATTTTTTTTTTCCTTAAATTTGCATATACCACATTGCCACATAAATATTACTTCAAAACATAAAAACAAATTGGTCGTTAATTATTACATCTACACTCCAAAATGAGAGCCTAATAAAAAAAAATCAATACTCTACTAGTCTACTACAAAATATCAAATGTGCAAGAATATGCAAAATGAATGAGTTTTTCTTTTCAAGGTTGTGAAGCATTTCTCAGAAGTTAAAACATTGCCAATAAAATTCTCAGAAGTTAAAACCTTACCAATAAAACTCAAAGCTTGCATGTACCTTTTACAAAATCTTTCAATTTTCATCGATCATCATGGGGAAATTGTGTTGGAACTTTAGCTTGATCTATTGCCTTCAAGAGTTATGTTGATAATGTTTTCAGTAAGGTTTTCCATATCAAAACTCTCTTCTGCATAAACTAAGTATAGAAAAACCAAACATTATAAACCATTCAAATTATGAGAAGTTTACCAAAATAATTATGAAAAGAAATAAACAGTAATACTATACCATACAAAAATATATTACCTCATTTTTCCAAAAAGTCAATCTCGTGTACACAACAAAGCTTCAACTGAGAGCGGCTCTGAGTGTTGAAGTCTAGAGAGATCGAGAGTGAATAAGAGAAGAGGATAGTTTGGGCTCCAACCTAATGTACAATGGACGGTTAAGATTAAATCTCAGCCGATTTGATGGTCATCAAAATTCTAAATTTAATTTAATATATATAGTATTTTTTTAGAGGTATAAAATTATAGTATTTTTTGGCCTATAGCCCTATAGCCACCTCCATTGGAGATGGCCTTAGGCCATCTCTAGCCAAAGGGTCCAGAAGGCCGAAAAACGTCTGAAAACCATCTCCAACCCAGGGCTAGGTTAGAGGGCTCGTGGGCCCCATGGAATCTGAAAATACCAAAGGGTTGGCCCAATCCAGCCAGCCCTGGGCTGGCCAGAAATGTGAGCATTCCTATCGGATATCCTGTCGGTTATATTTGATAAGAATGCTCACCAAATTTTCAAATGCAATGGTTAGCTGACGTCAGCTAACCGTTATTTTTAAATTTTTTTTTTTACAATTTTATTTATTTATTTTTATTTACAAATTTTTTTTCCTATAACTTCTATTTTTAAATTCTATTTTTTTTCTATAACTTCCTACTATTTTACAAAATTTGTTTCATATTTTTTTTAAATTCTATTTTTTTTTCCTATAACTTCTATTTTACAAAATTTGTTTCATATTTTTTTTAAATTCCATTTTTTCCCTATAACTTCTATTTTACAAAATTTGTTTCATATTTTTGTGCCTATCTGCGCCCATTTTTCTTCCAATTTGGAATTGGATGAGGACCCCCATTTGGAATCCAAAGAGGATCCAAAGTGGGAATCCATTGCAAACTTAAATTGAAAGAGATTGAATTCAAAGTTATGTGAATTATAGCCCAATATCCACCCTATTTATAGCCCAAAAAAATTCAAATCCAACGGCTAGCTGACGTCAGTGTGCCGTTGGATTTGAATTTAAGTTGTAGTTTTTAAATAATAAATTATGTTTGGCCCTATGACCATTTGGCCCTCGGTTGGAGATGAAGGCAAATATGGCCATGTACTATTCTTGGAGGGCTAGAGGGCTAAAACGAGCCCTCTGGCCAGCCTTCGGTTGAAGATGGCCTTATAGAATTGGAAAAGGCTTCCATGCATGAAATGTGTGGTTGGCTTGACTTATCAAGTCTTTGTTCTCTTCCCTCTGCATTTTCCAGAAAAGAAGGGGAAAAAGGACGGACTTAGGAAAGGAGAGTGGGGGCAGGGCCAGCACTGCACTGCGTGTACGCAAGGATTTCACGAAGTAATGTAAAACAAATGACAGAATGGATCGATGAGGAGATGGACCGTAAGAAGACGAAAAGACGTAGTGAGAATTTGTCTATTTGATGTCTGAGCTATGAATTGGACCAGTGATACTTTTTTGGAAAGGAAATGAAGCCACGAGTCAAACTTGAGCTCCGATGGAATTCGGGATCGTTTCAGCCTCCAAATCAACATTTTATGTTTTGTATTAAAAATCGGACTTTTGATTTTCCATCTGATCAATGTTTAGTTAATGTTGTTTTAATTTTTGGAAGTCTTTTTGAGTTGTTCCAAACCTTTGTAAACTTCGTTTAAGTTATCTGGATGTAATCATTTGATCATTCAAGAATTAATCAATTACCAACTTTTGGGATTTCTCTAAATTTTCTGGTGGATTCCAAGGAATTACGTTCGTAACCCTTTGATCGTTTCGTGCTGCTTCACGAAGAAAGCTGTGATAATTCACCCTCACAGCTCCGTATTCATGGCTTCTGACTACAGTTGTTATTGAACTTTAGGGTTGGAAGCCCAAGATTTTAAACCAGACATCATCAGTGCCTAAGTACCAATTAAAGCTAATCCAAAATTTTGAAAGATTGACCGTTAATATAGCATATCTCACTTGGAAGAAAAACTTGTGTTACTGACGAAAATTAGTTTGAGCCTATGGTCACACAAAATCTATTGCTGTTTAGACGAGTTTAGTTGTTATGATTTCTTTAAACTAGTTTTTTTTTTTTCTCTCTTTTCAAGGTATGAGGCACGATTGTGCCCAGCAGCTGTTGATTACAATCTTCATTGTCTCTATTTCTCTTCAGTTTCTTCATTTATCTGTCTCTAATTTTGACTGAGACTGAAAACTCCGAAAGACTTGTGCGTTGTTGACTTTGAAGTCTTTCCACATCTGTCTAGTAGAGCCATTGGCCACAGAATTGGAAAAAAAGGCGTCAGGACGTGCTCTCTGGGGTTGCCATAAAGTTCCTCGGGCCATTAGAAATGTAGCGTCAGACAGGAGGTAGATGAGATAAATCACACTGTGAAATTGAAATATTGTTTGATTGGCTTAAAAGACTTTAAAGTCTTCGTCGTTTTCTTTTTTTCCTTTTTTCTTTTTGCCTAGTGGGGCTAGGGCAATTGACTGACTAATAAAGGTGCTCAAAGAAAGTGGGGAAGAGGGCGAAAGCCCTGCACACAAACACCAGCTAGCAAAGTGGAAGATGAACATAGATGATATGTCACGTTGTGGAATTGTGATATTATTGAGTTGATTTGTTGACTTATAAACTTTGAAGTCTTAATCTTTATTATTTTATTTTTTTTCTTTTTGCATTGATTATCGTATGTGAATATGAAAATCTCACATAATTTTTTTTTTTGTTGGTTGACAACGGAGCATAAGCTCAAAAAAAAAAAAGATACATAAGAATATCACGAGACAATAGAACTCCAGCTATACCTACAATTAACAATCGATCAATAGCTATATTTTATTGCATTGTGAGTGTAGGCAAGTCCATTGACCAAATCCTAGTCACAAGTTTACAAATAGCCTCCAAGTTAATACAAAGCAAGTGGAAATTCGTAACATGAGAGATACTAATTGATATGATTGGATTTATTCATAACATTGTGGAATTATGAGATTACTTTTATGGATTGACTTTGATTTTTGAAGTCTTGATTGGTTTGTCTAAAGTTATGGATTTTGGTGAGTGAAATTCTTCAAAATTTCGGGGGGAAATGTGAGATTTGTAAATGTTTAAAATACACTAAGAAATTTCTTCAAACGGGAGGAAACATTTCATTGCTAGCTACTAAGAACCTAACAGAACTCTTTTTTGAGAGAGTAAAGAGAAAAAAGCCAGAAGGTTACGAAATAATTCGAGGGAATTGGACATAATCGTAGTGTATTTAAGCATAAAAAATCTCCCCTCTCTCCTTGCGATTTTGAGCAAATTCATTTAAAATATCTATACATGTTACTAAGCTTGTTAGGAAACCAGGTAGCCTACCCTTAAATATGTTACCAATGTGTCTTTGTGAAAAATGGAGATAAATGTCTCGATGCGTTCTGATGATCCTAACGGATTTAGCCAAAAATGTAGATTTCATAAAGTAAGAAAAATTCTTTATAATTATGATTTTAATTAAAAAAAAATACTTGTATTTCACTTTAATTATGGTCACAATGTAGTAAATGTTTCAAGTATGTTTTCCTATTTTTCACAAGTTAATCGGAATCGGCAAGATCCCCTTTGGTTCTTGATGCTTGGGTCTCCCTTGGTTTGCTAGAATAGATGGGGCATTACCGCTCTTTGATAGGACTCGTTAGATGCGTCAAATTCCGCCTTCCCCCACGAGAACAGGAAAAACCAGCATACCACAAAACGTTGCAAAAATCTTTCTTAGTCTTAAGAGTTTTCTTTTTAGCTTTGTAATGTCTTTATAATTTTCTCTTATAAAAACTCTACTACATTATCTGATTTTTCTAATACAGCATCTAATATGGCCTTTTAGATTATTTCCATTTAATACGTGTTCGTACTCCAAATATTCTCATATTGGCTCATTTTTACCTACGCTCCTTGAAACTCGAATTTGATCTCATTTTACTCCATGTAACTCAAAAGTTGTCAATTTACTCATTGGAACTCAAACTTTGCTCCACTGTGCCCCCTGGAACTCGATTTTGATCATATTTTGCCCTCCTGAAACTTGAAAGTCGTGCCTATAAAACTCAAAATTCGCTCTCATTACCTTAGATCTGTTAATTTCTTATGTGGGTTTGAGTCAAGCTAATCAATTTACTTTTTATTTTTTTCATCTCTTCGATTTCTTTTAAACTTAATATTAACTGGTTATTGAATGTTAATACATAATGAAGATTGATAATCAAATTTATTGCACCATGTGGCATAGTCTTATTAGGTGTTGGGTCTCACATATGTTTGCAGAGGTGACTTATATGTTTTATGGAGAAGAGTCTACAAATCAAAGTGAAACAAATTTGAGTTTCAGGGAGTAAAGTGATGGCTTTTGAGTTAAAGAGTAAAGTGAAACCAAAACATCAGGGGGCGTAGCTAAAAGTAAGCCTAAATTATTTTCTTCTTTTTCTATTTATTTTGGAAAGGAGTGGACATCCAACCGACCGATATAAACCATATTGGTCGATTTAGTTTGGTTTTGACCAAGAAAATGGTCAAACAATTTAAAATGGGAACCAAACCGATTACTTTTAATTTGGTTCGGTTTTGATACTTTTAAAACTGAAAGAACTAACCGAACCGACCTTGTATCTTTTAATTATTAATTTATTTATTTTACGCATGTCAACTTATTATATGTTATTTAGAGACCTTACTAATTTTGATTGAGACTGAAAATTGCAGACATAAGGTACGATTGTGCGAGGTTTCTCATTTCACCGATATGAGACTCTTTTACCTCCACATCCTCGCAGGTATAAGGCACGATTGTGCCCCACAGCTGTTGATTACAATCTTTATTGTCTCTATTTCTCTAGTTTCTTCATTAATCTGTCTCTAATTTTGATTGAGACTGAAAATTGCAGACAGCAACGTACAGCTCCAGAAGACTTGGGCGTTACTTGACTTTGAAGTCTTTCTACATCTGCCGGAATAATTAAGATGCTCAAAGAAAAAAAAGGAGCGGGGAAGAGAGCGAGAAATTTCGCCCCTACAAACATCAGCACAGCCAAGTGGAAGATGTACGTAGATGACAGTCACATTCACACTACCCCCGTGCTCTTCGGGTACCCAATAAATGTCTGTGCATGTTGATTTTCCAAGGCTGGAAGAGGTAATTGTATAGCGGACATAACATGCATGGCATTAGTTTTTTCATATTTGAAGAAAAAACTACAATGAAGCTTCTGCTGAAATTGATGGATTTTCATTTTAGTGATATTTGCATTGCATCATGCACTTGCTTAGTCCCAACAAAAAGAATTTCAAAGCAGAACACAACTTTAAGCCAAACTAAGCTAGAATGTAGATTAGTTTTGCACGTAGCTTCAACTCACTTATTGCCGGAAAGATAAATAATCACAACTCCTAAGCTAAATGTAAATCCAATTTCAACACCGATAAGATCCCTACCAATCTCACGTCCGGAATTCGAGTGGCTTCCATTTGATTGTGGTGGTGGTGAGTGGTGGTGAGTGGTGACAATCCTGCTTTCTTATCGACAGACAAAGGGGCCCCCCATAGTCCTTTGTTACCTGTAAACAAGGCTTTCAGAAATGTTGAAATCTGAGTACTTGACAAGTTGATTGTTTGAGAGATTCAAGAATTCTAGGAAAGTAAGCTTTGCCAACTGCGGTGGAATTTGCCTACTCAGTTTGTTCTGTGAGAGGTCTAACGACTTGAGTTGCATGTTGGCAAATGACAATGAGATTTTGCCTATGAAAGAAACACTAGATAAGTTAAGGAAATATAGTGACTTAAACTCTCCCATTTCCTTGGGTATTGGTCCACTGAAATTGTTGCATGAGAAATCAACCAAGGCCAAGATAGTTAGAATCTTAACCATATCTGTCCTTGAACCTTTTATGGTAATTGTTATACCATCCTCAAAAGAAAACCAAATGTGTCGTCATCATCTGAAAATTCTATGAGTTTGATTTTAAATGTTGGCCTTGTCAAGTTGTTGTAATGCAATGCGTCGATAAAATTTGTTGGATCACAAAACCAGGACACTCAAAATGGATATATTCTTCAACAAACAAGGAAAGGAATCTTTAGTGTGATTGTTTCCAAGGTTTAAACCGGCATGAATTTAAAGAGTTATTGCAGGATCGACCTGGATAGCAGACCCCTCAAATTCTTTTAATTTTTAAGTGATAGAAATATTCAATGTAGTTTTGGGGTTGAGCATAGACCGTTTTATCTCCGAAACTCAACATCCTCTCATACAATAGCATGTAATTTGAAGACATTTATATATGTACACGCATTCATTTCGATGTTGGCACAGGTGCCGATCGGTTAATTTGTGGCTAGAAACCAGAAACGGTCATCAATTTAAAGGAAGCAAAAGCAAAGTCTAATTAATTCAAGTGTGACGAACAATCACCAAGGTGAACTAATTTAACAGTCATCATCTGGCATAAATTTTTAGTTTTTACACAAGCTGAAGGAAACTGTGGAGAAGCTGTCTTTCCATATCTTTCTCAATCAAAGCAAATTGAGCGATAATATATAAACAGAACTTGACCAGTGCATGAAAAACAGAGTAAACATTTAAAATCAAAGACTCCGTACAAACACACAACAGAAAAGAGCTAATTTTCTTACAAACCAAAGCCAAAACAAGGGAGAACAAACAAAAGAAGCATAAATAATTAAAATTGTTTGATTCAATACTGATTTCGTATGTGTATCCATTTCCTTGTTGACTCTTGATCTCAACTGATTTCGATATCCAAAGAAAGCAAACTAGACAGGGTAGAAACGAGGGTGCAAAACCTGTACAAAACAAAACCAACAGATATAAGATATAATGCATCACAAATTCAAGCAACATGATAACCCTTTTTCCTTGCTCATGTGTTTGAGTGTCCATCCTAGAAAAGTGTTAAAATGGAATTTGAAATGCGCGCATAAGGCATTGGTTAGTAGGCTTGTTCTTTTCAATTTTTAAGAAACCTCGACAGTACAAGGAAAATTTATTAATCATAATGCAGAAAGATACAAAATAACTTCCAAACCTAATTACAACACAAGTTATAAATCAAAATGTGATTTGTTGGATCTTACCCTACGCACAACATGGAGTCCAGCTGCTTGCTCCTCATAAACATTTCAACGTCTCCACCTCTGATTTATGTGAACAAGTCTTCGATGAGGACCAATTCTTTCTTCAAGTTGAGGGAATATTCTCACAAGGATTTTATACATAGACCTGTAATACCATTTACTCCATCTCTTGAAGAACACAAGTGACCCAATAGCAACTGCAAAGCCAAATACAAATCCAATTTCAACGCTAATAAGATCCCAATCAATCTCATTTGTAGAATTTGGATGGCTTCCATTTAATGTTGGTGGTGGTGACAGTCCTGTTTTATTATCCACCGTCAGCGGAGGCCCCCATAATCTTTTGTTCCCTGTAAATGAGTCTCTTGGAAATGTTGAAATCTGTGTACCAGCTGGGATCTTGCCGACAAGTTGATTATTGGAGAGATTTAGGAATGCAAGGAAATTAAGCTTTGCTAGCTGTTGTGGTATTTGCCCACTCAGCTTGTTCTGTGACAGGTCCAAGGACTCGAGTTGTCGCATGTTACCAAATGACGATGGGATTTCACCTGTGAAAGCATTACTTGACAAGTTGAGAAAATACAAAGATTTCAGAGCTCCCATTTCCTTGGGAATTGACCCACTGAAATTGTTGCATGAGAAGTCAATCAAGGTCAAGACAGTTATAATCTTTGCCATATCCCTCTTTAAACCTTTGGTTGTAATCGTTATAGCAGGCTCATAAGAAAATGTAAACGTTGCATGACCACGGTACGCAGGTTTATCAGGAATTAGAGCCGCTTTTGTAGAAACGAATGGATGTCCATGCCCACGAGAAGATACCTCTATATAGTTAGAATCACTAATATCTCTGTTACCCTTCATTGCTTGCCATGTTGTCAGAGAGAATCCTGGTACTTCACCATTGAAATTGTTGTAAGCTAAGTCTACGATTTGAAGAGCCGGCCAGCTGGCATTGGTCTTCACTACTGGACATCCAATGCCTCCATAGAAATTGTTGGACCGCAAAGCAAGAACGATCAAGGTGGAGATGTTCTTCAACAAGCATGGGAAGGTGTCTGTTATCTGATTCTCTCCAAGGTTTAAAATTTTTAACCTTCTGCACCTGGCTAGAGACTTTGGCAATTGACCTTCAATCTGATTTTGGCTGAGGTCTAGAACTGCTAATGACTCACAATTTTTAGGAAATTCAAGATTAGAAATCATTCCAGTAATGTTGTTTTTCCTAACATTAAGTATCAAGAGTCTGCTCATTGCAGCCAAGCACTGGGGAATCTCACCACTCAGAGAATTACTGGACAAATCAAGAGCGAGAAGACAACTAGCATAGCATATTGATACTGGAATACTAGAACTGAAATGATTGTTTGAGTAATCCAGATATTCGGCATTTGGTGGGACAATTAAAATTGGCCCCTTAAGCTGGTTTGAATGAAGGTCAAGCCTAGACAAAGGAGATGTGGGGTTGATGAAAGGACCTTCGAGACTTTCCAAGGCATTGTAAGAAACATTTAGGTAATCAAGAGAATCGAGCTTCCATATCCAATTGGGTAGCTGGCCTTGAATTTGGTTTTCCGAAAGGTCCAGATTTGTTAAATAGGTTTGATTTCTCAAGAAAACTGGGAATGTTCTCAAGCTATTGTGTGAAAGATCAATCTTCGTCAGATTTGGCAGCTGAGGACAATTAAAAGGAAAGGCACTGAAATTGTTTGAAGAAAGAGTGAGGGTTTCAAGCCCTTGAAAATTAAAGATAGAGACGGGAACTGGTCCTTCCAAATGATTGAAACTCAAATCAATGGAAGTAAGAAAACTAGAAGAGACGTTAAAAATTTCAGGGACTCGCCCAGTGAAATTATTATGGGAAAGATGTAATTCCGGTAACAAGGGAAGAGAAAACAGAGACGACGGAATGCTCCCCACCAGTTGATTGTTGTGCAATTCGAGACTTTCCAAATTAATAAGGTTCTCCCAGTGAATAGAACTAATTGGACCATTAAACATGTTTGATGACAGGTCCAAATCAACCAATTTCGTTAGGTTTACGATTGACTTTGGGATCGATCCAGTGAAATTGCATCCAGAAAGTTCTAGTGTGGACAACATGTTGAGGTTGCCAATAGAGTCGTGCAATAACCCTGAAAAGCTTGTCCAGCTTAAAATCAAGGATCGAAGAGATCCATTCTTGGGAAATTCTGGCAAGGAAACAAGAAGTTCCATATTAGAGGAAAGGTCAACAGTTTGTAGGGTAGGTACCTGAAAGATCTGCTTCGGAAATGTTCCACGTAACCCACAATCACGTAGGCTCAAGGTAGTCAACTTTGAAAAATTGGCAAAGAATCCTGGAACCGGGGCAGAGAGATTGTTTCTGTCCAAGTTCAACACCATAAGGTTTGAGAGGTTCTGCAAGAGCATGCTGAACTTCGGGCTTTCAAGTGGCTTGCGGTCCCCATTATAGTAACTTTGAGAAATATCAAGGACCTCCAACCTTGTCAAGCGTGAAATCTCAAAGGGAATTTTCCAGAAATAATTATTATTTGATAAATCTAGATACCTCAAGTTTGTCAGCTTTCTAATTGCAGATGGAAAGCGAGAGCCTTCGATAAACCAATTATAGGCCAAGTTGAGGCTTTGAAGATGCTGAAGATCGAAGAGACTGCTGGAGTTGTCAATGCCACCAGAGATTTGTTGGCTGCTAATGTCAAGACCAACAACACGCCCGTTGCTACTGCAAGTAACACCGATCCAAGAACAACAATCTGTACTTGAATCCCACGATACAAACATGGAAGAAACCGGAAAACCATGATCAACAAAAGTGAGGTTTTTCTTCAAATGGAGCAATGACAGTTGCTGGTCTTTGAGACACTGGCTGTAGACTCCATTTGTGACATTATGACAGATAGTGAAGAAGAATAGGAGGACAAAAGATTGCAAAGTTTTCATTTTTGCTAGCCGAGTAAGGAAAGTGTGTGATGAACTGAAGGATTGGTAAGTGTGTGATGAACTGAAGGATTGGTGTGATGGCCTTAAATTATTTTTGTCCCTTTGGAGTCCTTTTGACTTGCAGACTCTGAAGTCTTGGTCTTTTTCTTTTAACTGTAACCAGTAAATATTAAAACATTGCAGAAATGAATTAGACAATGATCTGCCTTTAATGTCGTGGAGAAATCTTCCACGGGAGATATTTTGTTGGCTTGACTTGCTTCCTTTGAAGTCTTTCCCCCATCTTTCTGATGGAGTAGGTGCGAACTGAGATTGGCGTAGGGCCGGGGAATACCGTGTTAGGTACGTAAGTTGTTTCCATGGTTTAGCAGGACTACAGTAGGAGATAGATTCTATCTTTCAAGCAGTTTACGTTCAAAAATATGCCCGCACTTTGCTGCAGGACTTGAATGCACAAGTCTTAACTGCATAAATAAGACACATTTAACCTGAATAAATTAAACATAATCCTCAATGAACAGAGGGATAGGTGAGTGAACGGGATCAGTAAAATAAGCAGCTTCGTTTTTATACACACCTCAAAAAATGCTTGCATCATGTTGGACACCAACTGACAGCGAAAAAACTAATCCACTTATGTACGCATTATCTTGATTTTTTGTTGTTAATGCACCTTAATTTCCTTCTACTAAGAAGCATTACATCTACAATTAATCATCTACTAATAAAAGACAATCTCAAGATACTCGATATGCAACTAAATCAGCGACAATCTCAAGATACTCGATATGCAACTAAATCAGCAAACAGTCTTTACTTATTCAGCATATCTACAAAACCAGATTGGATCACATATCAGACATCATATTGTCAAACACTATGTTCTCTCTAACCATATAAGACACTGGATTGCACATTAAGTAAATAAAGACCCCAAGTTAGAAAACACCCAACAACAATTAGTCAATTCAGCAGCTTTTTGCTCAATCTCTCGTGGAGTAAAATTCTCATCAGTACAAGTCAAGGGAATGGCTCCTTAATACACACACACTGATCAAATTAATTGGTGCACATATAAGGAGATAGAAAACATAGGGAAATATAGGGGAAACACCAATCAGACACAAATAACACACACACTGTAAAGAGATAGAAGACATAGGGAAACTTATTACAGATGACCTTAGTTTACTTAGTGCACATATAAGCTAATGTTTCTTATAAAGATATAATAATTAAAGCCAACCTACAATTGACCCTGATATCGGACTTAACTTGTTGAGCTATCTTGGTTTGTTTAATAATTTGGAAACATATCGTAACCTCCTTAACTTTATGCAACTCAAAATATAAGATTTAACCAGTTTCAGATAGTCTCCTAAGCATCTGCAAACTATTAACATTATCTCCCCAAGTTTCTTTCCCAATTTCATCGATAGCAATTTCAATGATAGCAATTTTATTGATAGTCTGCTAAGCATCTGCAAACCATTAACATTATACCCAATTAAGAGATAGCAATTACCCATTCCACCGTTATCATAGCTATACATAGTAAAAGGATGCCACAATTATATAGCCAAATCTAGTCCCCAAGCACATGAATAAGATGTAACAACAGAGTCACAAAATCACAATAAATAAATATACCTCAAAAGCCAAAGGGCCAAGTGCTCCCTCCAACGATCCAAATTTCAGAAAATTGCAAACATAGCAAATCCATTAGCACTAACTTACAGAACAGTAACGAAAATAGACTAGAAACAGTGTTGAAAAGCACCTTGAGTGAAGAAAACAAAGTGAAATATGTTTTTCATGCAAACTGTTGATGATAGCACGTTTTAACGAATCATATTCAAACGGCAGCAGCCTTTGAATAAAAACAGGGTGTATAAAATAGGCTTGCGAGAAAATCCAAATAAGGATGTCTCCATGAACAAATAACACACCGATCATTCATGTCTCTCCTTTTCAAATAACACACATAGTGATCCAAAACAGGGTATATAAAAAGGACATCCTCATACATTTCTAAATCTCTTTTTCAAAATCCAAAACAGGGTATTCTAACTCTCTTTTTCGTTCATTTCACACAAACCAATCATACATTTAAAAGAGGTCTTGAATAAAAACAGGGTATATAATTATATGCCTGAAAATGCCAAGGAACCAACTTCTCCCTCCAACAATTGAAATTCCTGAAATTCCAAAACATAGCAAATCCATTAGCAATATCGTGATGTTTCTTTGCTTTATTTAGTCTAAAGATTATGGATGTGCGTATGTATGGAGTAAAGAAGTGGTGCAACCTTTCAACCTCATTTCTAGAAAACTACCCAAGAAACAATGAGATATAGAGAACCCAGATATTTTAGATCAATTTAAGCTACGCGAAAAAAAATATTTTGAACTTGGTTCAGTGGCTGAAAAGAATTTGTGCCTCCAAATACTAATGCTTACCCATAACCTAGAATTTAAAATTACCATTTTGTGCCATTAGGATGTGAATGCTCAGGTGGCAGCAGTGGTACCAAATTACAATTCTAAATCTAGTAACAGAAACCGGTTGATAATTAACCCAGAATATAAAATCCAAAGAAGTTAGAGCAAAAATTACCTCAAATCTTTGCTAGTCTTGTACTTTGGTATAGTGGGGTTTACTTGTAAACAGTAAAGAAGTCCTGAAAACCAAAGAATGAAAAGCGTTCTTTCAGTTAACTAAAAAGCACTTGTAAACGGAGTAAGATATCTAGTAACCAAAAAATAAATATTGTAAAGCAGACATAAACAAACTTCAATCACAATTACTTTAATACATTTGGATACAAAGGAAAATTAAATTTATTCAATTTTGATATAAAGAAAATTAACTAATGCAAGAAGAACATTTGTGCCTCAATGGCGTGAGAAATACCCAAAACAAACATTGTGATGTGCAAACAGAAAATGATCATGCTCTCCAACCTATATTTAGTGACGGAAAACTTATACAGAAAATGACTCTGCTCTCCAACCTACCTGCTGGCATTCTCCTTTCTACTTCTCTATATGTGATGTGTAAATTACATTGGTTGTCCTACTAAGACATAAAGGATAAAAAAATTGGTACTTAATTAAATAAATTTTGCATGAGTTGTTAATTATAGTAGGTCTAAATCTAATTTTGAAAATCTCCACCCCAATTATAAATAATAGCAGTGGAAAATTAGGTAAATGGGGAATCATGTAGTTAAACAGATTATTAATGCCTATTAAGTTAGAGAACATCTGAAAAAATAGTAGAAAAGAATTTGTGCTTCCCCATAACTTAGAATTTGTACTCACACTCCTCATTCATCACTCAAACAGAATCAGAATAGAGTTTATTAGATTTTCAGACTCTATGTGAGTGACTCCTTGTGAGGTTTTCATTCGAGCATGCATCGACTCCACTGATATTTTATGTATATATACTTGAAAATTAGAAGAAAAATAAACACGATCTTATTTGTCAACAAACAGGAAAAAGAATATAAAGAAGCCCTGGAAAGCTTCAACGAAAAAAAAAAAAAAAAAAGGCTCAACTTGTAACCACACTTATGGAGCTAATTACACACAATAAGTAAAGTATGATTAGTTAATTGTCCGGTCCCCAAATTTAATTATTGTTACATACATGCGATCGGATTAGACCTGGGAAGTGGGAAACATGCATAATCCTTAAACACTGAGTTGATAGCAGGGCAAGCAAGCATCAAATTAGTATCACTATAAAACATCATTAATTTAACCCAATTTTAAGTGACTAAAACCTTTCCTCCATGCATCTTAATAAATTAAGTTTTATTTATTTATTTATGGTGTACTTTTATTTTCCCTCTCTTTGTTTGATTTGAGCTCTAGTAGAACATGCTTTGTTATATATTAGATAAGTCTGCTCAAAAAGAGGAGGCTAGAGCCTAGAAATGCTTATAAAGAAGATATTCCATAACGTTTCCATGTTGAGCTATGACCAAGGCAGAGTTAGACTCATATCAGTATCACTACAGGTTCTGGGAAAGGATTGCCAAAAGAATGCATGCATAACTTCTCCTACAATTACCTAAGCATCCTATTAATATAAGTGACATGGTACAGAGACTTTACAATCAAGAAAACGAAGAATGCAACAGTTGTAAGGTCTTGTTTCTTATCAAAATAGATCCCTCTTAAGAGAGGGACTTATATGCTCTAAATTTGAATACTAATTAGGAGATGTACACAAATTCCTAATCAATCAAGTTACGAAGGTCCTAAATCCTAATCCCATGACCCCATTTTCTTTCCCAAATTTTCCAGGCAACCAAATAGACCCCAACCTAACCCTAATCAGCAAATTTCTCAATCAAACACCACTCAATCACCCATCAAAAACCAAAGAAATTCAAGAAAACAAAGAATGTAACAGTTGTAAGGTCTTGTTTCTTATCAAAATAGATCCCTCTTAAGAAAGGGACTTATATGAATTAATTTGAATACTGATCAGGAGGAAAACACACAAATTCCTAATCAACCAAGTTACCAAGGTCCTAAATCCTAATTACAAAAAATCACACTGATCAAATTAAAACTCCGAATTAAAACATACCCAATTATAAAACTATCATTAAAAATGAATATTTCATCATTTTGGTATAGCAGCATAAGGCCTCATTAAAAAGAGAAAAAGAGAGAAAAAGAGAGAATGCAGAGAGAGAGAGAGAGAATACAGCAGCATAATCAATCAAGTTGATGCATATTTCAATCAAATTGATGCATCTTTCAATCGAGCCTCATTAACCACAGAAAATACAGCAGCACAAAACATAACAGAAGCTTGGAAATAGAAAAGGAACCTGCAATTAGGTTTCTTCAGAAGCAACAATGACAGAATGGAATCCAGAATCACAGAGACAGAGAGAGTGTGGAGTGAGTCAGTCTGAGTTAAAATAAAGAAAATGAGCTTTAGAAAGTAGGAAAGGATGTTGTTCAACAAACTAAACAGTCAAGAAACCATTTTTAAATTTGAGTCAGAGGACACACCAAGACTGGACTTTTCCACCAGGCAAAACAATAAACTGCTGATGAATTAAACAATCTAAAAAAATCTATGACAACTTTAATGAAGGGAAAAGAATATCTATGGCAATTTGAAGAAAGCAGATGGCAAACCAAACAGTAAACAATGAATTAAAAACAATAAACTGAAAAATAAAGCTGAATTGGTACTAAACAATGGATTAAACCAAAAAAACAAACTCAACAAACTCTCCCATACCTCCCTCAGTAACCCCTTCCTGACCGGCTAACCCCTCTCAATCGGAGGAAATCCCATAGGTCCTGGCAGAGGACCCAGCTAAATCTCACTCTCACTGAGTCGAAACCCCTAGCTCCCATCTCTCTCCAATCTGTCAGTCCCTCTGTCCTCCTCCCCCCAATGACGCTCCGACCGACACACATCCATCTCTCCTCGAGTCAAAATTCGCAGCCCTCCTCTCTCTCTCCAATCTGCAGGTCACCCTTGATCTCTGTGGGTGATTCAGTGCCCAAACCCATCCTCATCCGCCAAAAGCAATTCTAGCCAACCAAAACAAACCCCACCCGGAGCCCAAACCCACAAAGCCCATTCATTAAAGCAATGGCATGGTCGTAAATAAAATGAAATTCGGACCCCAACACTATTCATTTAAACAGTGCAATTTGAGATCCTTCTTTAGACTAAAGTATTATCTCAAATTCTTTTCATTCTCTTCCATCGCCTGATAACAAAAATCATAAATTTTCAGAAAGAGTGTTGTTCTCTATTAACAAAAATACGATATACTCAACTCTCACCATTAACTTACTCTTCAGCAAATCTGCTTCTTGAATTTTCTCCTGTATTTTATTTTCACACGATATTGCCCTTTCATATACAGCATTCTCTTCCAGCAATGTCACCTCCCTCAACTGTGCCTGTCCACAAATGCAAATGGGAACTATTAAGAAAGATTAAAACATTGCCTTTTTGATACTCCAAACTTAAACTACACAACTCCATAGCCAAAAATAGACAATCACATAAAACCCAGATAGCAAACAGAGAAAACGCATTAAATCAAGTACATCCTTGAATTTTTAAGCATAAAGAACAAATTTTAGATACAAAATATATTGCCGCAAAGCGAATACTAATAAGCTTTCAGGAGTGAAACTTATTTACCATGAACATTTCATAGAAAAACACAGCCAGGAAAAAATCAAGAGAGGAAGTAAAAATAAAGGCAAAGATCTACCAAGAGATTACAAATGAGCACAAATAAGGAAGTAAAAACTCCCTAATCCAAAAACAGAAAGATTGAGGAATCGTAAATTTACTTGAACAGGAGGAGAATCTGAGGAAGTTGAAGCGCTGCCTATGATTTTCGGAATTTCAGGTGAATCAGTGGGCTTAATCAAAAAGCAATGAAAGATATAGCTTATGATGAACATGGCCAATAGCTTCCACTTCAACCTTAAAAGAATAAGCAAGAAAATTTAACTTGACGAAGAGAGACCTCAATGATCTGGCTCTTCATCGTTTAAGAATCAGTCGAACTGTGACTCTCACTTCATCTCTAAACAAAAGTAGAAAACCAAACCAAGTTTAAGAAAAATTGTGTGTGCCCAAAGAGAACATTCAACTGTATAAGTGAACCTTAATTCATGCCATTTTAACTTTGACATTCGTGTGAGCCCAATTCGCATCATGTGTCTATGGACATTTAGTTGTAATGCTAAAACTCAAATTTCTGTCCTAAGCATTAAAAAAGTCGCAAACATACATATACATCTTGAAATGAAAATTTCACCTGGTGATCCAGCCTAGCAGCATAAAAGTAAACTTTCATTTTGCACTTTAACCGCCTCATTCTTTCTTCCTAAGTAAAATATTAGAGTATCATGGCAAGAACTAAAGAAACAGAAAAACGAACTCGACTTCATACTCCCCTAATTAGTTTAATTAAATTAAGTACTTGCCTGAAGGGGTATGAACTTATCCTAAGGAAAGTTGAATAGTGTCAATTTCTCCAAGCACTGTAATCAAAACTGTCTACATTCTAAACCAACATATAGATCTAACCCAACCCAAATTATATGCAGTTTATTTAATAATGCAATCATCTTCCAAGAATAAGGTCCAAATATGTGATCGGTTCCATCAAGCATGTCTATATTTCTATTGAACAGAACAATTTGCAACACACTTGCTCCCATTCTAAATCCTTGTAAAAGTACTGGGGAAAAAAGACAATTCCCTTGCAAGAGCAAAAACACCATGTTTGCTAGTACTTAATATAAACATTTACACCAACAACAATAAAAAATTAGCACAGAAAGCATAGGTCCGTAAAACACAAAGTATACACCACATGCAATGTAATGAACATTTCCATTTAGTTGAGTTTAATATACATACACCGAAATAAGCATTTCACTTTAGTTTAATACACATGTTGAAGAAATCAGGAAAATTAAAACCAAATCAATGCATTTTCACTTAATTATCCAAAGGGAAACGGAGAATCCTCACTTAGCAACTGCTTCCTAATTCACAAAATGCTATCATCTTTTGAACCACACAACTTTTTTATACAATCAGAAATCATCAAACCCTTTCATACCATCACATTTGGACAAAAATATAAATACTAAAAATCAGAACCCAAATTTAAAAGCCAAAATTAAAATTAGTATCCAATGTTTTGACGGTAGATGATTAGGTTATTAGGAGTATCGTAATTAGATGAAATATGTGTGGTCTCACTTAACAGGCTCAAATACACAACATTTTCCTACAACTCTTTTGCGTGAAAAATCAAGAACTCAAATCATGAGTACAGGACTGAGTAACTCCAAGAAGACAGAATGTTGGAAGACATAAAAACATGGCTAATTTCAAGCATAAACTATCTCTGAAAAATTAATACCTCAAGTTTGTTTTCCCAATCTACACCACAAATATTACTTAAAATTGAACCAGCCTTGACAACAAATTGAGGAAGCTCCTTGAAAAAATCTACGGTGCTGTAAAACACCCCAATAAGAAGAAGAAAATAAAATGCCAAGAATTCATGAGCAGCTAATTATAATCTAAAGGAAAGACGGTCTAGTGCCTAAGAACTAACAAAGTGAAACTTTGCTTGCTATATATGGATATGCATGCTAAAAGAAAGATTGATTCCCCCGTGTAGTAGGCTGTTCTCTGTAATCTTAAGCTAACCCAAGTAGACTAATTATAATGATGCAAAATATATATAAATCTGACTGTTTTTTAAACTGGGATTCGAAAGAATCAATACCTTGGCATATATCTGTCTTCAACAATTACTGCAAGATCATCTTTCTAGCTATGCAACAAATCCAAATTGAGCACCATCGCATAATCTTGGGCTTACATTATGGAAAACAGAAGCACCGCCAGTGTTTAGAACAATCAACGTTACTTGCCAATATCATTAGAGAGTGAAAAATTAGGACCATTTTTTCCGTCCAGCCATTTTAGTTGGCCTAATTCTATGTAATTGCTTCTAATAACAGAACATTCTGATTGATATGGAAGGCATAGTTCCTCTAAAAAAAGGCTGGAATCATTCATACCTGCCAAACCCAGAGTAATCTGGTTCAAGATGTGAGAGACAATTTATTTCTGTGTAACCATCAGAAATCTCACTCATCTGCCTCTCAATCCCCTCCAATCCTCCAACAGACGTATAAATGAAACTATGAAAATATATGGGAACTCAAAACTCAAGTGGCCTTTCTTCTTGAATGAAAACTCAAATTCAAAACTCAAAATTAAGTCTCATGAAAAAGTATAAAGCCATCCTTTTTTTTTTTTTAACCACATAAACAACAAATCACAGATGTAACCGTACACCCAGATAAAAAATTATTCAAATTCAGATAAAATTCGCAAATGAGTCATCCAGAATCAGAATTATATTAACATTTTTCATCCCCGGTTTACATTCCTGTTTACAACCATATTACACTTCTAAACTTTCTTGGTCATCACTTCAGAACTTCCGTCTCTTATTTTTCATGATATACATGCTTCTCTGTTACAATTTGGAAAAATAAAAGTTGTTAATGTAAATGAATAACAGTTTTAGTGAAGAGAGTGATTCTCCTAATTGCTAAAATAATTGAGTAAATTTCTGTGGTACTCAAATGCATTTAATAAGATTCATTAAAATAAAAATTGCAAGCTACCTTTTATCATCAGTCAGCAACCTTCTACAAACTTTATTTTGGTGCCAGCACGAACAGTCAAAACCTTCGTAAATAACAATTGACAAAAACCTGTCCAGATTCAAGATAAATCTTCAATGACAGTCATATGATACAATCTGCCATTCTTCTAGTAGCATTCTTGCAAGAAATAAAAAAGAAAAAGACAACCATTGAGTTGCTTTCCTTCCAAATTCAATTCATCCACCATACATAAAACAACTACATGAAGGAAATCAAAAAAATCCTAAATCATAAAATTTCCAGTGCATGCACCAAGAAGCTCCATATACGGTTATATACCACTCCCAAAATAAACTTATGCAGAAACTATACACCATAAACTTTCTCAAAGATACAATGTCCGGCCTGTATACTACTCAGAAGACGTAATCCATTGAAAATTAATCTGCAAGGATAAAGAAAATTTACCTTAACAGCGCCATTAAAAAAATGGGGATCCTGGAGATATTTTTGTTCAACCTGAATGGAAAGTCAACAGAATTTCAAATTTCAAACAGTGAGCATTTTTTCACACCCAAAATTGAATCATCACAAAACGAACGAATTCAGTGCAACCATTATGCCCAAGGGAAATTATTGTAACAAAAGTCAAACGGATAGCAATCATGTCCGTTGATACCTATGACTTTTCTTATAACAACTTGACAGGTCCAATCCCAAATTCTGTCATTTTCCTAAAGATGTTCCAATTTCTCAAGATCTTATATCCAACTACATCTCTCAATGACCAAATGGCCACATATGAGAACCAAAACAAAGCCTTGAAGGGGGGAAGAAGAAAGTAAAAAAAAAACAGAGGAAAGGTACTGTTTGGCTCCTGCAGTAATGATTTACCTTTTGTTTTGGCAAAAGTTTCCATTTTGTTGGAGGTTTAGGCACTGGCAGCTGTAGAAAGCAATAGAATATGTCATTAGGGCGGTCAGACGTTATGCTTAAGAATGCAATAGGCAACTCCTAAAAATCGATTACAGAAAAGAACCAGCAGCATCAACAATCTTTTTGCATACCCAATGAAGGAAAAGTCTGTGAGTTGTAGGAAGTTCACTACTGTTATTACACTAACATTTTAGTCAACCAATTTACATGATAAGAACAGTAAATTGGCATCACGACAAAAGGGGATCAACAAAAATCTTGACAATTACCTGAAAATACCATTCTACTTCTTTTCACTTGTGCAGCACTCTGCATGTAATTACTATCAGATGCTTATATACATGATCAAACCTGTGAAAACAACATCGTTTGACAACCATCATAAAAAATACACCCAAAATAAAACTAGTAATAAGAAACTAAAATAAAAACAAGAAAAATAAAAATTGAAATTGATAGGACTTACAAATGCCCATCTTTTCTTACTTCCAGAAGACTACTCAAGAAACAATGAGATAAAGACTTCCAAAAATAAGAAATATAAGCATTTTTCCAACTTATTGCGTCTCCTAACGAAAAAAACGAAATATTAATGTTGCATAATAGAAGAGAAAACAACATTCCACAGCATTATAACAGCATTCCACAGCATTATATTGTTATCCTGGGGCGCCCCGCTAATCCCTGCAGGCAGGTCCTGTTGCAGCCTCTTGAAGTCTCTCATCAGCCTCTTCCTTGCAGGAGTCGACGTCGCTAATGTGCTACCACCCATATATCATGAACCCAATTTAATAAACCATGTTTTAAGATTAACTATGCATTGGGCAAAAACCAATTTCTTTTTTTTTTTTTCCAATGCCTGCCAAAACATCAAAACCCACTTTTCTACACCAAACTGCACACAAAAGACATTGGGGCAACTCAATTTGTGCAACTTAAACACATAATTACCAACACAAATACTTTAAACTACGATGTAGATAGCTTCAGCTGAGCTACATATAGACAAATTCAAAGTTCAAGACTTGAAATCAGGCCTAAAAACTGGAAATTTCACTTCAATTAAGCAGAGCTTAAATATCCATGATAACAAAAAGAATCATCCTTACTTCACTAATAGGACACTAACCAAAAAACCCTAATTTATGTTATTCAGATACAGAACCTATGATGACAAACCAGTTACAGAACCTACCATTGTAAGATCAAGATCTGAAACTATCATTAGCCGAGCTTCGAACTGATCCATGACTATCCTATATCCAATGCAAACCTGCACTGACTTATATACAAAAAATAAAAACATCAGAAAAACCATTCCAAATCCAAATTGAAACATATGATTCCAACGACATGATGATGGACACACAAACACACACTACAACAAAACTTGCCAGAACAACCGAAAGTTTTACAAATTTGACATTCTGGAAGCTTAGAGTCCTTCAGTTTTGCTTTTTTCCATGAGAACGCAACCTTCGACCTTCAGTTGAGCTGGTGCATGCTGCTGCAGGCTCGGTGCTTTCCTCACGTATAACAGAAAAATTAGGGAACTCAATTTATTATTTATAGATCATCAATTATAAAATAGTAATTCATCCCTGCCTCCCTTAAGATGATCCTCAATCAAATCCAAAGTTTGAAAACTAAGAGAGAGAAAAAAACACATTTTTGTCAAATTCTTCACCCAACTAATTTCAGAAGTTCAATCCGAGTCTTTTAAACAAAACAAAAACCCAATAGCTCAAATCTCCGAGTATCCTTCCATTCACTAAATAATTTGCAACCCAATTAATAAAATTATAAACTATTATAATTATCATGAACTAATATTAACACTGTTCATAAGTGCCCTGATTGGGGGATTTTGATCTCATTCATGTATCATAGATCGGTAGTGGATATGCATTCCTTGTCCATTTTACTCTTCTTAGCAGAAAGGAAAAAAAAAAAAACCTAACCCTAAATACTGACCCAGAAGAACAAATCCCAGTTACCTCTCAGCCCGAGAGTTGCGATCTTCTTCTTCTGTGAGCTGCACAGATATCCCATACCGCTCTGCACGAGGCATCTTCTTCTCAATGGCAGTCGTTGTGTTGGTACATATAATAACGGGCCACCCCAGATTTCTTCACAAACTGCTGTTTGACCAGCGGGCCACCCCGATTCCGTGAAACCGATTTGGGATTTTACGGCTTCTTTGGATTGGGTTTGGGATAAAATTTGGGGGTTTGGAGTAGCTTCTGGAGGCGGTGGGTTCAACCCTCTGTGGCTGAGAAGAGGAGGAAGAGGAAGGGAGTGAATGTGAGGGATCTGAGAGTAATGGCGAGAGAGATAAAGAGAGGAGATTATATCAATTGTAGAAACGAGGGATTTTCATATTACAAATTTACAATAACCTAAGTTAATACAATGCAAGTGGAAATTTGTCACATGAGAGATACTAATTGATGTAATTGGATTTATTCATGACATTGTGGAATTGTGAGATTGCTTTTAATAATTCGGTTGAGTTTGATTTTTAAATATTTTCGCGTAAATGTTTTAGTGAAAAGCTTCAAAATTTCAAGAAGATATGTGAGATTTGTAAATAATTAAAATGAATTGTGAAATTTTTCCAATCCGAGGAAATTGACACAATTCATAATATATTTTAAGCTTCACAAATCTCACATTCGTTCTTGGGATTTTGAGGGAATTCATTAACACTTAAAGAAGGGAATTGTTATTGACACTCTAAATTTCTCATTCTACACTCCAAACTTTCTATATTTAGAAATAAAAATACACTTGTGAGGAGTATAGAATGAGATTTTTAGAGTGTCAATAACACTTCCCTTACAGAATTCTAATGCTTTATCTGAGTTGTCTAATACACCCCATCCAACCTCACACAGTTGGTCGACTCGTTACATTATCCGATTTTTCTAAGACACCATCTACATGGCTTTCTAGATTATTTGTATTTAGTATGTGTTCATAACGTTGTATATTTTTATGTAAATTATTTTCTTCTTTTTCTATTTATTTTGGATAGGGGTGGGCATCAACCAATCGAACGAAAAAATTGACCAACCCAAAGCATATTAGTTGGTTTGGTTTTGAACAAGAAAAAAGTCGAACGATTTAAAAGCCGAACCAAACTGATTTATTTTTGGTTCAATTTTGATATTATTGAAATCGACTAAAATCAAACCAAATAGACCATGTATTTTTGTAATTATTAATTACACATGTCCATGGACGGATCCATATAGGGACCCGGGAGGTCTCGGGACCCTCCGGAAGTCCGAAGAAACACTTGTGATCGACCTTCGGGACCCTTCAACAATTTGGGCAGGTGCAGCGGAGAGGCTTGTTGCCTCTATGGATGTGCATGCAACAATGCTTACAAAGAAGAAGAAGAGGTTTCTAATTTTTGTTTTAATCCTCCAAATCATCGTAACCTCCCAATTTTGAACTTAAGTTATCCCATCCCCCAGCACCATTTGCTGTTCCACCACCTCTAGCTGTCTAATTTTATTTCTTCCAAATTCATTTAAGTTTTTTAATCCTAAACTCTAGTCTCAACTCCCAATTGTAATATATATGTTACATTAACAAATTTCATCTTTGTAAAGTCATTAATATCGTGTTATTTTGCTGAAGAGAATTTGTTGGTTTTATTACCTTTGAGATTAATCTTGATTATTATTATTATTATTATTATTATTATTATTATTATTATTATTATTTTATTTTATTTTTTTTAAAGTGGGACAACCAGTGGTAAGCCACGGTTATCCATCCTTTCTAGGGGCCTAGAAGACTCACAACGGCATTTCAGCTTTCTCATGGCCACAGTCAAGCAGACTCACTAGCTTGGAGCCTCGAACCCGGAACCTCCCTATTTTTGTATTTTAAGAGCCGAAATTCGCGCCCTGACCACTTGGCTACTTGATGTGGTTGATTAATTTCGATTATTCAATAAACCAAATTCAATAAAAAAATAGTGCTATGCAACCAAACTAGTCTAATATTTTTTTTTTTTGAACTTTTATCTTGGGACCCCCTGATCTTGAAATCCTGGATCCGCCACTGCACATGTCAACTTATTATAGGTTATTAAGAGATCTTACAATACACATTATGAGTTACAATGACTATCAACGTTTAGGAGATTTACATGTATTATATACTTATGTAGGTTATAATTAAAAAATTGTTTGCTTGTATGAGATTTTATTTAATTGAAACTTATTTCTATTCGATGTGAAGAACTTTTTGTGTTCCAAAAAATGTAGTCTTTTAATTGAATTAGAATGCGTGAAATGTTTAGATGTTTAGAAGATTAAAACTCTTGAAATGTTAAAAGTTTTTTTTATTTTTGTATTGAGTAAGCTTAAACCGACTAAACCAAACCGAATCAAATCAATTAATTATGATTTAGTGTAGTTGGATTTCAATATTTATATTGTTCAAAATCCAATCAAACCAATCCGTTAAATATTATATGATTCGGTTATATTCTCAATGTCAAACTGAATCAAACGGGTCTACGCCCATCTTAATTTTGGATGGCCTTGAACCCGGTCTAATAATATCCTTGGAAAGGCCCTCAATCCAAACATGGAGAGTGCTCGTGAGTCGTAACTGGGATTTTGCTCGTGAGAGTCGTAACTGTTTGCTAGCCCAGTGGAAGAAGAAACCGTTGGTTTTCAGCCCTTAATTCAAACGTGCCACACAGAGTCTCCCAAAACATGGACATGGATATCGACGAAACAGCCAAAGGTACACCCTTTTCTCCAAAACGCCACGTTTAATAATTCTGGGTCGTCGTCACCTTCCATTAAAAAAACCTGTATGCACTTTTGACAGGGGAGGAAAAGCAAGGAAAGCCCGTCGTAGTAATATTGGTGGGTGGGCCCGGAAGCGGAAAGTCCACCTTCTGTGATCATCTCATGCGGTCCTCCTCCGCTCACCCCCTGGTTCGCGTTTGCGAGGTATATCTATGTGCACACCATATGTTCGATGAAATGGCTCAGTGAGCTCAAGATTAGTATTTTCAGTAATTCATATGATACTCTGGATACTCCGGATTGCTGTTCATATGGGTTATTGTTTTTTTTTATGCTGTTAGGTTCTCATTTTTTATGTTTTTGTAGGATACTATAAAAAATGGTAAAGCCGGAACGAAAGCGCAGTGTATTGAGAGTGCAATGAATGCATTGAAGGATGGGAAGAGTGTTTTTATAGATACGTGTAATCTGGAGAAAGAACAAAGGGATGGTTTTGTGAAGCTTGGTGGTAGTACCCAGGTGATGTTCATGCTGTGGTGCTTGATCTTCCTGCCAAGCTTTATACGTCACGGTCTGTGAAGAGAAGGGAAACTTGCAAGGTGGGAGAGCGGCTGCGCTTGTGAATAGAATGCTGCAGAAGAAAGAACTGCCTAAACAGAGGGAAGGGTTTGCTAGAATCACTTGTTGCCAGAGTGAGAGTGATGTTCAATCTGCCGTTGATGCATATAGTGGACTTGGTCCGTTGGATACACTTCCCAGTGGTTATTTTGGCAAGAAGAACACCGGTACGAAAGTACAACTAGGTATAATGAGGTTCTTAAAGAAAACAGATGGTCCTGCTAATACTGAATCCACTTTGAAGAGTGTACCAGATTCTAATGCTTCTCGAATTACGGAAGAAAAGGATACCTCTTCGAAGGGAACAGGTTCATTGTCTGAAAATTCTGGTAAGGAGTCAAAGGAAGGTGAAGAGCTATTTGTAGGCTCTGTTGGCAGTGATGTTTCTCTAAACGATTCTGCCTCTCCCTTCAACTTCTCCCTTGCTTAGTAGGGAAGGGGTAACCCATGTCATACATGTTGTTGGACCCAACATGAACCCACACTGACCAAATTGTCTGAACAATGACTATAGTAAAGGCTGCAAAGTTCTCCGGGAGGCTTACACTTCACTTTTCGAAGGTTTTGCAACAATTGTGAGGACCCAAGCAAAGTCACCCAAGGGAAGCATTGAGAACCTACAGGCAAAACTGCCAGAGTCACAAGAACATTCTGACGGTGCCTATAGAAATCATTTTACAAACAGCGATCAAAAGACTAAGAGAGAGGATCCTCATAAATACAAGAGGAGCAAAAGAAGTAAAGCATATCAGGATGATACTGAAGATTCTAATACTGGTAAACCAGACCTGAGCAACAAGTCCGGTGGAAGCAGGACTAAATCCTGGGGGTCATGGGCTCAGGCTCTCTACAACACTGCCATGCACCCAGTGAAGCACAAGGATGCAGTACTAGAGTTATCAGATGAGGTCGTTGTGCTGAATGATCTTTATCCAAAGGTAAATGATACCTATTTTCCATATATTGTTTATCATCCTCTTCTACTTTCTGTCTGACGAAAAAAAAACATTCAGAATTTCTCAGGCAAAAAGGCATGTTTTGGTGGTGGTGGCGCGATGTGAAGGTCTTGATCGACTGTCAGATGTTCATAAAGAACACCTTCCATTGTTAAGGACGATGCATGAAGTTGGTTTGAAGTGGGTTGAGAAATTCTTGCATGATGATTCATCTTTGGTCTTTCATCTTGGATATCACTCGGTACGCATGCTACTTTTCTTAGAGCATGCTATTATATTCGTTTTACCCAACGTTGCCTTTCGAAATCCTTTTTGCTAAAGGACTCGTGAGTAAACATTAATACATCAGACCAGATGTAAATAATAAATTGTGTTTCGGGACATCATCTCTTGCAGGATCCCTCAATGCGACAGCTGGATCTGCATGTGATCAGCCAGGATTTTGATTCAACACACTTGAAGAATAAGAAACATTGGAACTCCTTCAATACTGCTTTCTTTCGAGTCTCTCTGGATGTGGTAGAGGAAGTCAGTAGTGATGGAAAAGCAAAGCTAAAAGATGAAGATAGTCTGTTGTCTATGGAGTTGCGATGCCACCAATGTAGAAGCGCTCACCCCAACATACCCCGATTAAAATCTCACTTTACTAACCGTCAAGCCACCTTTCCAAGCACCCTGCTCCAAAATGGTCGTCTTGTTCGCGCACCAAGCAATGTCAGCATTGTCCGTAGGTGACAATCCATCGCATCTCATCGAAATTTTGTTGTATATAAACAAATGCTGTCTGGTGGCTTAAATGTTATTGCATTGAGATCCTTGGTATGGCTTTCCATGATTCTCAATTTTCACAAATTTGTGTTCTCGTAGACGTAAGTAGTAACAAAATGCATTTTCATGTACTCATTTGATTACTATTTCGTTTTTAGTTGTCTAATTTACAGTGTTTTTGAATTGTTAAAACAACAAAAGTCAACAATCTCTTAGAAAGCATTAGGGATCTAACTAAATTGTGTAATCACCCCCTTTTTTGATTTTTTCTTCAAAGTGACTTCATCTCGTGAGACAAGTTTTCGACTTGCCCTAACCTAAACTGCAGAGCCGTCTCAATACAACTTAGTCCAAAGACGAAACTGAAATGAGGTTTTCCTAATTTAGTACACTATCAGTTATCACTACCAAAAACTAAAACTTTGCTCATCACTACTTGTTCCTCTTTTTCTTGATCGTTGTTCCTGTTCACAGTCTGTGTCTTGAAGACGAGCAATCAGCACTCCTCCATTTCAAGAAGAGACTTTTGTCCAATTGAATTACGGATAGAGATTGAAGCTTAGCGAGGGACTGATCAACAGGACCTGAAAGAAGAGTGTCAGACAAGCTCAACACCCTCTCGTTTGGGTGTGAAGATGATATCGCTTGACACCACTTAATCCCCTGTGCTGATATATTCACACCATCAAGATACAGCTCTATGAGATCTGTGAGGTTGTGAAAAAGCATGCTTAAATTCGGGCTCTCAACTGGAATTTTCCGAATTCCTCGATGAGTCTGAGGATTGTAATGATCATGATTGTATTTGAACACAAGTATTGGTGTACAAGTATACAAGAAAATATAATGTGAAAGATATGATTACAGAGAATAATTAGACTTCGCTGGAAATCTGGGATTGACCAGATTTTGTCGGGCTTGCTTCTATCAAAAAGGCGTGTAGGTGGATTGACTGCGTCCTCCCGGGGGTGGGTTGCCATTAAATTCTTCAGGCCATTATAAATGTAGCGTCAGGCGGTGGAATTGTGATATTGTTGCGTTGACTGACTTATAGACTTCGAGTCTTGGTTTTTTTTTTTTTTTTTTTTTTTTTTTTTTTACAATGGAAAGATAATTACACATGATTTTTATCTCCTAGACAAATGTCTTTTTATTTGAAATCATATAATTTCTTTCTACATTCAATTTATTCTCTACACATATCTTATTTATAATTAAACTATCAATATCTTTTTAAAATTTTCCATCATTGAATTGAATAATTTCAGCAAAATGAAGGAAAAAGATCAAATAATTTCAGTAAAGTCGTTACAAAGCAAGTGGGAATTTGTCACATGAGAGGATACTAATGATATAATTGGATTTATCCATGACATTTGTGAGATCGCTTTTATGGGTTGATGTTGATTTTGAAGTCTTGATTGGTTTGTCTAAATTTATGGATTTTGAAGGGGTTTAATTTATTTTGAGTGAAATTCTTTAAAATTTCAGAGGGAAATGTGAGATTTGTGAATTCTTAAAATGCAGTACGAAACCTCTCCAATTCGAGGGACGTGGACATAATTCGTAATGTATTCTAAGCATTCACAAATCTCACTTCTTGTATTACGATTTTGAGCGAATCATCTAAAATATCTAGACATGTTACTAAACATGTTAGAAAACTAGGTAGGCTTCCCTTAAAGATGTTACCAATGGTATTTTTATAAAATATGGGATAAAAGTCTCGTGTTCTGATGATCTCAATGGATTTAGCCAAAAGTGTGGATTTCATATGGTATGAAAAGTTCTATATAATTTTAAAATTTAAAAAAAAAATTGTATTTCACTTTAGTGTAATGCTAAAAAGACTAAATTTGCAAACCAAATGATGTGTCATCAATAGAAATAGTCTTGTTTATCAATGCTTAAGTAATAATCAAATCATCAACTTCCATGTCATTTAGTTTACAAATTTAGTCTTATTAGCATTACCCTTTTATTAAAGTCCGATTCAATATGAATATGGAGCAATGCCCGTGGTCCGCACACAATAATAAATGTTTCAAGTATAGTTTTCCCTGTTTTTCTCAAGTTAAACAGAATCGGCAAGATCCTCTCTTGTTCTTGCTACTTGGGTGTCCCTTGGTTTGCTAGAATAGATGGCATTACTGTTTTTTGCTAGGACTAGTTAGATGCGCCAATCAGACCTTCCCCCACGAGGACAGAAAAAACCAACGACCACGAACACCAGCACAGATGAAAAAAAAATGCAAAAATCTTTCTTAGTCGCAAGAGTTTTCTTTATAAATTTGTAAAGTCCTTATAATTTTGTCTTTTAAGAATTCTACTACATTATCTGATTTGTCCAAAACACCATCTTCTACAATATTTGCATTTAGTACATGTTCGTACCCTAAATATTCTCATATAAATTATTTTCTTTGTTTTCTATTTATTTTGGATAGGAGTGGATATTGAACTGACCGATCTGAACCAAATTGGTTGATTTGGTTTGGTTTCAACCAAGGAAAAATGCCAAACAATTTAAAATATGAAACGAATCGATTTACTTTTAGTTTGGTTCGGTTTTGATACTTTTGAAACCGATCAAAACTAAACCGAACCGACCATGTATCTTTTAATTATTAATTTGTTATTTCACAAATGTCAACTTATTATAGGTTATTTAGAGACATTACTATACACATATTATAAGTTGTAATGACTATCAACATTTAAGAGATTTATATATATTTTATATTTATGTGAGGTTATAATAAAAATTTTGTTTGCTAGCATGAGATTTTATTTAATTGAAATTTATTTCTATTCCACTTGACGAACTTTTTATGTTCCAAGGCTGGAAGAGGTAACTGTATAGCAAACATATATAACAACTTTTCATATGTTTGAAGAAAAAAACTACATGCATGTGGCAAGTACATAATTTGAATTGAAGAGCCGTCTCAATGCAAACCTAGTCCTAAGATGAAAATGAAATGAGGTTTTCTTAAATTAGTATGTAATTTTTTTTATAAGCTAGTGAAACTAGAAAACTTTTCAATTCAATCAACCACCATCTCCACAGCAGAGTGAATTTAAGGCACATTAGATGAGATTTAGGAGAATGGTGAAAATGCAGTTGATTGGTTAGTGGGGTTTTAAATTTCCAAGTTGCCCTGATTTTGATTATTAGCTGTGTTACTTTCTGTTATGACTTACAATTCAAAATTCTAATGTAGAAATTAAATTTGTGTTACCTATTTTGTTTAGGTGTCATATTTAGGTTCGAATTTGATTTATGTTGCATGAACACTCTAAATCTTGGAAGTGTTTGAGCGTCCGACACATCAACACGCCCAGACACATGCCTGGACAAGATTTGGACACGGTCAATGTTTCGGACGAGACGCCGCCTACCAATCCCTCAGCCTTCAGGACTTAGCCCGTCGTCCACTTCCTAACCCTGATCCCTAAACTCCATGTTTTCACCTCAAACAATGGCGACTTCAAACATGTTTGCATACCTATATCGTCAATTGGGACATCTGCATGATATCTACATGCACACCCTGTCAAATTTGGATTTTGGGTGTTGAGCCATAGCAGCTGCTCGAAGAGGAAAACAGAGGAGAGAGATTGGGAAAGAGGTAGAGGACGAGAGTTTTAGTTGGTGGGTCCGAAATTTTAATATTTTATCGTGTTTTTTATTTTTTAAATTAAATATAAGGGTATATAGTAAAAAATAGAAATTGTAATTTATAACATTAACTTTTTAGTTTAATGTGCAGAATTGTGTAAGTGTATTCTACATGTCAAAAGATGAGTGGGGAAGGCACAAACCGAAAGGTAAATTGGGAAAATAGTTGGAGTAGGATTCTCTCACGTTTTTGTTCCTTTCTACTTCCCTCTCTTCCTATTTAAACAATCATGAACTCACGGTTAATGTACATCAACATTTTATATTAATTTTATGCATAAAGAAACAGAATAAATAGAGAAATTTTATATAAAAAGAAAAAGAAAAAAAATAGAAAATGTGAGAGAAGAGGAAGGAAGGGGATAGAAAGAAAAGGGGAGAGAATCCTAGTCCAAAAAAGTTAGCATTCCTCTCGTTTTAAAGATAAGTAGTATTTATCATATTTTAATCACTGTGTTCTACAAGTGTCCGTGTCTTTATTTTTTAAAATTTACCGTGTCGCGTATTACAGTATCCATGTCCGTGTTTGTGCAACTTAGGATTTGATTTATTGGTTGGATCCATTGCTTGGTGGAAATATTTTGTTAATTATCTATTTGATTATGATTTAGATTTGCTTCCAATTAGGATTATGATTCTCATTGTAACCTAAGTTCTATGCACTATAAATAGGACCTTCTGGTTAGTTTATTTTGTGTGCAAAAATGAGGGAGGACAAACAAAGGCAGAACAAAGGAGAAGAAACAAAACAATAAGTACAACTATTGCTTCAATGTTGATTTCCCATTTGATTTCGTTTCCTTGTTGACTCTTAATCTCGACAGGTTACGATGCTGAAAGCAACTCCATAGGACAAAGAAGAGGGCATAAAATTTCGCCTGTACAGAAATAATGTTCAATTTCGACACTGATAAAATCTCAATTAGTCATCATCCAAAGTAGTTGGTTTTCTATGTTTAGTGCAAAAGAACAAATAAGTCATCATCCAGAAATAACAACAATAAGAATAAGTAATCGTCCAAAAATCAAAGCAAAATAGTATGAATTCCCTTTAATATTCATAAGTTTATTTGGCATAACCAACTGTTGAATTTGTGGCTCATTTTCTTTAGACCACGTGAAAACAGATTTGAGAGTTAAACATTCTATTTGTAAATTGAGGGTTAAACTTTGATTATAATCTTTATTTTGATTATTATTGGAAATTCCTTGCTGTCTTTGAACTGGACGTAGACTTACGTTGAACAAATATAAATCTTTGTGTCATTTTAAATTATTTGTTTTGTCATATTTTTCGTATTAATTCATTGGTTTCATATGTGACACTTCCGCACAACGGAACTTCGACGGTACAAGGAAATTTATTGCAAATCAAGCTGAGAAATACAAAACAAAAATATTCTAAAACAAACTAGAAGGGCATAATTAAATTAAAACGCTACACAAAAAATCACAGTTCTTATGTTATTGGGACTATTTGTGGGGTCTATCCACGTTGAATTTCGGCGATTTTTAACAATTTATTTTTCAGAGTAAGATTCTCTATTCATTTTTTTTCCCTTTCCTTCCCTCCTTTTATATTTGAACATGATTAAAATACGTCAATATTTTATATTACTTTTTTTTATATAGTGAGAGAGGCAAAATAAAAAGTATGAAACGAGGGAAGGAAAGAAGAGGAGAATAGGAGAAGAGAGAATCCTACTCTTATTTTTTCTCAAGTATTGGTGACTCTTGCGGTCAAGTTGGATATTGGCATTAACACTGGCGGCCGGAGCTAACTCAGCAATCAAGCAAAAGAGGAAATCATTTTGGATAGCATAATCTATGTAAGAAGCTCAGGGAAAGTGAAGAGAAATGTATTGGGTAAGATGGCTTTAAATATTAATGATCTTATGGAATATTTGAAAAAGCGTCCATGGATGGTGGTTGGCTTGATTTATCAAGTCTTTTCTTCTCTTTTCCTCTCTCCATTAACCAGAAAAGAAGGGCATTATTATACAAAATGATCTCTGAGATTTGCATAATCAATAGAAATAATCTCTGAAATTGAAAATCAATAGAAATGGTCCTTAAGATTGTCCACCATCTATGA